CCCGACTGTCCACGGCCGCCAACAGGAGCAGAGCCATCCCAGACGCCAGACTGTCCAGACTGTCCACGGCTACCACCAGGGGCAGAACCATCCCATGCTCCTGATTGCCCACCTTCGCCACTGGATGACTCCCAGTGGTACGACCATTTCCCCCCACCCATATTACCAGTATGGTGAGCACAATCGCAATGACAAGGAGGTTGCCGCTCCCTGGTAGTAGCAGAAAGGTCTGCTGCTAACCCATCCTGTGTTCTTCCAACGTTGGCTGCTTGGAGAACAGTCTGACCAGGCTCAATAGCGTTGGCGAGAGAGGCCTGACAGAATAAGGACGCAAGCAACAGTCCTACAAAGGGCTGTGCGTCTCGCATATTGTCAGAAGATAAATAAGAAGCAATTTAGAAAAGATAAAACTAAAGGTTGCAAGTCCTGTGGGACCATTAGAATGGTTGTCACGAAGCCTCACGTACCTGGCAATATTTATAGCCGACACCTGATTGACCTCAAGGAATTAGGATGCTGTTCTGGTACGTGTGCTACTACGTCAAGACGTCTGCTTGCAGCGATTCTGATTCATCTTTAGGTCATGAATGTCATCTAGTGGTAATCTGGACTTAGCCTTTTGCAACAAAGGGTGCTCAATAATGTCGGTTCTCGGGACACCGTCGAGGTGAGAGGTTAGGTCGCTCTCGGTCGCAGCCCTGCTTGCATCAGTGACAGAAGCAGCTCTAACAGTCCGCCAAACCCTCTTCCTGTAATTGGAACGGCCAAGCTTCGCGTGGTGGCATAGACCGTTGTATCTCTTTTTCCTGGTGACTGCAACCGGTAACACTTGCCTTCCCTCTGATGTCACCACCCTTTGGATGGTCCCATCAGTGTACATCTGATGGAGACCATGGTTATGTTTCATCTTCAAGGGTAGTGTGGTCAAATCCGTCCATGTAGAAGCGATGTGGCCAAAAGAACAATCCCGGCCGAGACGCATTCCTAGCTCGTTATTAGCTAATGCTAGAATGTGCCAGGTACCTCTTCCATCCACTATTTTAGAATTTGAATATCTTCATTGAGTAATACCTCCATACCTCGGAGATCTTCGGGACATATTTCCCTCTCATTCCATTCTTGAAAGGGTCGGGTCTTTCCGAGAGAAATATGATAGCTGTCATTCCAAAGCTGGCGAGGGATAAAGTGGCTAGCTGAGACGAGACATAAACGACCGCATGAACAGGACCTTGCATACTGATCTCGGGAGACACTTCCCCACCCAGCTACTGCAGCTCTAGTTTAAGCCACACTCTGTATTTGGCATGCTTTCCGGGGAGCTATGGCGGATATCGGTCTGGGCGAGAACGTCTCATGTTCACAAAATCCAGAGTCTGAATAGTTGCCCCATATCCTGACCCACGTCTTGATCTGGTCCTGGATTTTCTCATCTCTGGTACCGCATAGTACCAGCAATATTCCGTCCATGAGGGCGTCATAGAGTGGCCGCTTCCAGAATGGTTACCTCTACAAATACGAGTGTTATTTCCAATATAGCGAGAATGGGTGGAGAAAGACTTTGAGAGCTAGTTACCGTTTGCATAACGCAAGCCGAAGATTGTTGCATATACTGCTGGTGCTTTCTGGTACTGTATAGGTTGCAACGATGGTTACCTACAAACGCAAACTCAGAAGCTTTCCAGCTGCTGCCGAATTTGGATATCCGTCCAGCTCGATGATGCGCACAGTTCGCCTTCAAGAAGTAACGTCGATGGTGGTTGCTTGCGGAAGTATCACCGTATCCAGATGACTTCGTAGTTGGTCAGAATCTATTATGTCAGTATAGAGAGGGAAGCAGAGGAAAAATACTATATAATGACCGATCTTGACTCAACATCTGGACGTACATCCAACACATCCTCCAACCCTCTACACAAAGCAACCTCTATCAGAATCCTCATCCAGGCTTAACGCACGATTTTACCAGTATGCCCTTGGTTCTAAGTTCAATCCTGGCATTAGCTAATATTTTCCTTCCCAGAAAATGAAGCTCAGCATTGTCCCAGTCGCACTCTTGATCTCCTCCGCCGCTGCGGGCTCTATCGTCACGCAGCAAGAAGCAAATGACTGGTACCAATGCACAACCCATGCCCTCAACCTGGTGAACAGTGGCAAAGACGATAGTTCGACCACTTGTACCCTCTTGAACTGCCTGTCGGAGAATGCGGAACGCTACCAACGGGGTGGTATGTACGGAAAGCTGTCCGGAATCCTCGAGATCGCTTGCTTCGCAAAGAACATTCCCATTATCGGCAGCTTCTTGAAATAAATGCAACCTTTGGCATTTGCTCTCCTACTTCTCCATGATGCGGGGGTTTTTTTCCTCCCAGCCAGCTTGGCGGAGTTTTTCCCCGGCTTTCATGGAAATGTGGAGGCTTCGTGGTCAAGCTTTATGTACTTTCATAATATCTCTTAATATTACTCTCACTTTTTGCTGACATGATGTTTATTTTCCTCTTTTTTTTTTCTCTTTCTTCATTTTGCAGTCATGTAAACCTCCCAATTTTGTAACACCTACGAGACTTACTCAAAAGCTTGGTGTAAACAGTAATCAAGTCACACGCCAAGCATGATGGACGTAGATCAGTCAAGACCTAACGACAGGTCATCTTAGCGAACGAGACATAAAATAATTCTACAGGCTATCTCAAGACAATGGACCGACCCTGCTCTCAGCTCCGAGCATTCGGGGGAGGAACTTGGGAAGGGATGAATTCCTGGTTAGCCCGCGCGTAAATCTTTTGGTGAAACTTCCGTAATGCAAAAGAATTAATCTTATTAAGACTCGTATACTACCTCAGCAGATGGCTTCGCCATGCATTTTGATTCCTCCTCGAATTCTCTGGTCAGTAACAGCGAAGGTCGATCTTAAGGGTTAGGAAGGCCTCTTGCGTTCCCTGCTAAGGTGGCCTCGGACGAGGTATTGGTGGGATACCAATACAACTGCAGCCACTGTGAACATGATGCGATACAGCCATTGAGTAACGTTTATCGCTATGTAATCATTCAAGTCGTCATCATGAATTTCTCAGACTCTTGCAAGAACGGGTGTCAGGGCTGGTACCCAAGTGGACTAAAAGCACATATCACTCAGATACTGGGTTTGATAAATCCTCGCACGTTACATAGCTATGTATATATATCTAGTACCCTGCCACACGTGGCGACAATACCCGCATCTAGAAATCAGCGGGTTCGGGGTGTGTTTGGGTTTGGTCTGCCAAAAGCCTGGCCTGGGAAATTCTCTACCATGATCCGACAGGGAAGATGTATAAACCAGAAGAAGATGTTACATGGAGTAAGTACAGATTCATAGTATTCTTCTGTATCTCCTTCGTTCTCCTAATCACTGTGATTGCTCGGGCAGTGATCAAGCACCCCAAAAGGAATGGTTGGCATTGACCGTTGCTAGTTAGTCAATTAGCTGGAACGCCGCTCAGATTGTTCTCACCCGGACTGATGATGCCTAACACACTACAAGGTATGGAAGAGATTGGTTTTGTATTATGCATGTTGTAGGAGCTGATTTGAGAGGATGCTTTCATGTTTCCCCAGCCGATGCGAATGCCTGATTCTCGAGGTCTCGGTATCTGATGGTAGTGATATACCCGGCGGAGAGAAAGCCGACACATGTTCTGCAGGCTGCTCTCGGGCCGTTTCCGATGATTATCGGATCTTCGCATTGCGAAACACAATATATCAAATGGTGAAGTCTACGTTCTAGACACGAAATGCGGCGATGAACATGACGACTTCAGATTATATTGTTTCTCTAGCGGAGGCTCAGGCACGGCTCCCTCCTCCGGTGGAATCCAGTCAGTTGCTTGAGGAAATCGACCGGCAGGTGGATCAGCTTCCTATCCTCGTGGTTCTGGATGATGATCCTACTGGCTCCCAAACATGCCACGGAATCAATGTCCTGACAGTGTGGGATGAAGCAACGCTAGTCGAAGAGTTCTCCACATGCGACCGTGGATTCTTCATACTCACCAATTCGCGCGCGCTCCCTACCTCTGAAGCGCGGGGCCTTATATCCCAAGTCTGTACAGCTGTCAAGCGAGCAGCAGCCCAGGCCCAGAAAACGTTTGAAATCGTCCTACGCGGCGACTCGGCCTTGCGGGGACATTTTCCCGATGAGATTCAGGTGGCTGAGGAGGTAATCGGGCAGGTAGATGGATGGATCCTCGCACCGTTCTTCCGACAAGGAGGAAGATTCACCATTGACAATGTCCACTATGTGGCTGATGCCGAAGGGAATCTGGTTCCGGCCGCCCAGACTATTTTTGCAACGGATGCGACCTTTGGGTACTCAAGCTCCAGCCTCATCGACTACGTAGTCGAGAAGTCAAATGGCTCAATTCCTCGCCACTGTGTGCGGTCTATCTCTCTGCAGGATATCAGAGAGGGGGGTGTATCTGTTGTGGCACAGAAGTTACTGGAGTTCGCTCCGAGATCTGTTATCATAGTTAACGCGATAGTTGATACTGATCTGGAAATCTTTGTGCTTGGTCTACTACAGGGTATGTATCACTAATGAGCTAATTGGTCAAATATGTTTGCTGACATACTTCTGCAGCGAAATCTGCCGGTCGGAACTATCTGTATAGAACAGGGGCTGCCTTTGTATCCACGCGGTTAGCGATGAGATCACAGCTTCCTCTCAGTGCACGGGATCTGGGAATGGACACAGAGGCCTCTTCTCCAGGCGGCTTGATCATTGCCGGGTCCTATGTGTCGAAGACGACTGATCAGCTTCAACATCTAACTTCAGGCCGTGGGTCCGAGATAAAGGTTATCACCCTGGACGTGGAGGATCTACTCCGCAGCAGTGAAAGCAACTATACTGCAGTAATTGGTGCTGCTAACGAGGCTGGTAGATATATTTTAGACGGACAAGATGTGGTACTCATGACAAGCAGACGACTGATTAGCAGCCATGAGGAGCTATCAAACTTGCATATCGGGAGCATAGTGTCTAGTGCATTGAGTTTGTTTCTACGGTTGCTAATCCCCCGGTCTCGATATATCATTGCTAAGGCGAGTGATCCTAAATACAAAAGGATGATGAGAGCTAATAGGTAGAACTGTATAGGGCGGCATCACTTCGTCAGATATAGCAACGAGAGGCATGCGCGTGCGACGTGCCCAAATCATCGGCCAAGCATCAGCGGGGGTACCTGTCTGGCGCTGCGATGAACCATCGTCTAAGTTTCCCGGCATCCCATACGTCATTTTCCCCGGCAATGTCGGTCACCAAGACGCGTTGCTAGATTTGGTTACGAATTGGGAAAGCAGAAGCCCCGAGAAACGGCCCAAAATGCAATATCAACGGCTTGGTAATAGTGGGTTGAAAGTGTCGAAAATCATCCTTGGTTGCATGACATTCGGCAATCCGTCATGGGAAGGCAGCCCATGGGTTCTTCCAGACTCTGAAGCGCTTCCGCTACTGAAAAAGGCATACGACTGTGGAATCAACACGTGGGATACTGCCGACACGTATTCCAACGGGATGTCTGAGATCCTGATCGGAAAGGCTCTCGAGCAATATAATATTCCACGGAGTAAAGTTGTCATCATGACCAAGCTATACTACCCGGTCCTTGAAGCAGGTTCGAATGCTCGACCCAACCCTGCAGTCAACGATGGCGACCTGGTCAATCAGATGGGGCTCAGTCGGAAGCACATTTTCGAGGCGGTGGACGCATCTCTTGCTCGACTGAAATCCAGCTATATAGACGTTTTACAGCTCCATCGCATTGATGATACCCACCCCGAAGAGGTCATGCGCGCTTTGCATGATCTTGTTCAAATGGGTAAAGTTCATTATCTGGGGGCGTCAAGCATGTATTGCTGGCAGCTCGCGAGACTACAGTATGCCGCAAAAATGAACAATTGGACCACATTCACCAGTATGCAGGGTCTGTACAGCTTACTGTATCGTGAAGAGGAGCGTGAGACAAACAGATTTTGCCATGCCGAGGGGATTGGTTTGATTCCTTGGAGTCCCTTGGCTCGCGGGCTATTGGCCAGACCATGGAATGTCAAGACTGATCGATCTGTGAAGGACGCAAAGACTGCAAAGTGGTTCTCGGGCGAGCAGGATCGGAAGATTGTTACCAGGGTCGACCAACTTGCACGGTCGAAGGGATGCAGCATGAGTGCACTTGCGATAGCATGGTTGTTGAAGAAAGGCGCTTGTCCAATCGCCGGGCTGAATAGTATCGAGAGGATAGAGTCTGCGTCTGAGGCGCTGGCAGTTCGTTTGAGTGATTCTGATCTAAGATTTCTTGAGGAACATTATAGGCCTCTTCCTGTGCAAGCGATCTAATTGCTGTCTTTAGTCTCGCATGGCGTGGGTACTAAGCGAAGAATGTAGGGCAGATTCATAGTCTACTATATATATATATGTCGAAATTTGAGTTGAATCCGCTTCTATTGTTATTTTCCTATTGTGTGGTTGGTTGCATATCTCACTGCTTGCGGGTATTTTATCATTCTATACCCTGTCTTTTCTATTTTTATTTTTATTTTTATTTTTATTTTTATTTTTATTTTTTTCGTTATTTCTATTATTTTACTATTCCATTTCTTTTCCTTTTATTTCAAGAAAAGGTAATATCACTATTTTTATTAACAGACTGTCACGCCTGGGTATTTGTTGTCAAGTCCTAACTCGTAAACTAGTATATCCAGAGCTGCACTTATTTACAATCTATATAGAACTAATTTATTAAACAAAGGAGATTTAAATTTAAAAAATTAAATTTACTAAATATATTCTGGCATATCTGATTTACTACTGCTTCAGATCCACGGCTATCAGCACACCGAGACACCCGGACAAAGCTGAATGCACGGTATCCATAGGCGGGAAAGGGCTGGGAAAAGGCAGATTTGGCTGGAGTACCCCGAGATGAAGACAAGCTGTCGGCACGCACAGGAGAGAATATGCATCCAACACTAGTTAATTCCCACTGTAGATCTGGGGGTGCTCAGGTATTAGGAACTGCACGTGATCGAGATGGGCTGAAAAGGCGGCAATAATTGGTCCGAGATTCTTCATATCTGCTTTAGCTAAAGGACCTAAAGGATATAGTCGCTGTCAATCACTTGCGGTGAGTTTATTCAGCTGAAGGGGAATATGCTTATTAATACTGCCAACTGCCACTCCTTGCAGCCCTAACGCAGTGATACCTTATAATACAGGGATTATGGATATGCATGACCAGATCTCACGATTTCCGAACCTTGCTGTACTGCAAGTTTTGGCAAATACCTACCCTACATGTACAATCTGTAGGGACCAAGGTATTATGCAGACCAAATTGTTGCTCTGGCAGCCTACACAGGAAGTTGTACATACCGCAAATCGAGGGTTCCATGAGTGATGATTGGATCCATCCTTTTGACACTGCCTTCGACTTGAAGATAGCAACCCCGCCCCCCCAAAAATGCCTTATATTCTAGAACATAGTTTTGCCCAACTACTAAAGTGGTGATCCTAAATACGATTAGCGCATTGCGGATTCAGATGAGGGGAGCGAGCAAAATGTGATCAGCCTCTCATTTCTTCCTCCTGAATAGCTATCCGAGTGGCGATCTCGTGCTCGGTAGTTCGTTTCTCGGCACCCAGCGTGGGTACGCAGACAAAGTGTACAGAAATGTTTGGAGCCATCACCCTGCGAGATCGGGAGGTACTCGTTGAAGGCATACACGTGATCGGGGTTATTCGCTCGTCAGATAAAGCTCAATCGCCGCCGCCAGCCACCCCGCCAATGAATTTCGGCTGCGCTAAGACCATTCTCACGCGGTCAAGAGTGACAACGAGATAGTCCACTGCTATGCTGTATCACATTTGATTATAACAGGAATGACACGTACTAGCAATGATATAACAAGGATTTACCAACCAATGGGAGCGGCAAAATAATAATAATAAAAACAAAGGGTACTGTAGAGATGAGCTGAAAAGAGTGTTGATCCATCTCGGTAGCTCCACTTGCCAAGCCCCGCCATCTCCGCAATCAGAAATGCAAGTGTGGTTGGTTGGTGCGTGTCAACTTATTACCTTCAAGATCCTGTATAGGTACCTAACCAGGTGCCATATCTATTTTCCTGACAGATTATTAGCCGAAATTTCTTGTTCGATCGCCGCTTCGCTCCAAGGTTTGCTAGTGCATGTTTCCTCTTTTTGAGGACGAATCTTGATACAATGTATATCCCACCGTCAGCTAAAGGCCCATACGAGCTAAGATATACGCTGTTGAAGAGCGAGGGGCAGCGTATGTAAAACTATTTAAACCACCCGAAGTCCCGTCATTGCCCTCCCACCCCGCTTCATCCAACAAACCTTGTGCCCTGGCAAACTGATAACTATTATTCAAACAATATGCCTACATACATTGTGAGTGCCTGGCTTCTATACAGCCGCTGAAAACAAATTTGCGTTCGCTAACCTAACCTTCTTCAACTCTGGCAGGTTACGTGTGCCGATGACGCATCGCACGAGGAGATTCAACAGTAAATCTCATAAACTGATGTCATGAAATATTAGCTAATCTACGGGTCAATTAATCAGGGTCAAGAAAGATTGTGTTGACAGAGGTGGTAGACTAGAACGCGAGTTTACGCTCATAAAAGCCTTTTCGTGGGTATCCTCAGTCCGTATTCGAGAAGACTTAAACTAACTATCCAATCTTCGAATCATTTCACAGGGTGACGTTTGATGAGGAAAGCATAGTGACACTCGAGTCTTCTCCACATGTAAAATCAGTTGAGGTAGACAGTGTGATGACTACCCAGTAAGCTCAAGGGGAGTTGAGCGAAGTCTTTGTGTTCGGGAATGTGTTTGTTATATAACCAACCTACATTGACCATACAATTGTATTCAGAACACCAGTCCCATGGCACGTAATTTCAAAATATTCTACCGGTTGGAATCCATTCCTAAACCCTCACAACACTCACAATACTCACAAATCTACAAAATCATTGCCCTGTATCGCGTTCTACGCATTTTACTAAGGATTGCACATGAATTTCAGTCGGCGGTGGGGCATACTTTAAGCAGTCGATGAAGTTCCACTTAGTTAATCGTGAGATCGGGCTCATAACTACTACAACAAGCTGAATCGGTAGAGTCTAGTATATATAGACTAATAAGAAGCATCCTGTACTTCCGATACACGTGAGCTCCTGAAGTAAAGGCTCTCTGCGTCATAATCGACCTGAATCTTTCAATATCAGGATCAAGAAGGCTGGCGGACCAAGATAAAGTAGTCTACTAAAGGATACAGAAAGATCCAATACATATAATACTAAAGCTAATATTCAGCTCCTGACACTAGAATAGTGATAGCCAGAGGGGTATAACCTATGAGCCGGAGCATAGTATTCCGATCACACAGCTATATACAGTGGTGTAACAGAAGTATTTGACCTCGAGTACAGTGACCACGCAAAAGTATTTGCAGCCCCAGCCCCACAACGCCATGGTAACATAATACTCTGCTTGCCAGAAAGCCTCCACGAAGGCTAAATTATGGGCTAGGAGTGGTTTCTCCTATGTGTGTTGGGCAGGCGGAGGGGTGCAAATACTTTTGCGTAGTCACGAATTTAAATTGATTGTCTGTCTTTCGTAGCATGCAGACCCCACCTAGCGTACGTGGCTATCCTCTTCATCGACTAGGCGTGCGTGGTTGTAGAAGGGTATTCATATTGCTAACCATTGTAATTTGGTCGAAAATCATAAAAGGAAGAAGACAATAGGGTGGGGCAAGTGTATTCATAGTTTCTGACTTCCAAAGTTGGGTTTGCTTAGCGCCGATTGCTATGTCAAATTTAAGTGTGGAGTTATTTTGCTATCTTGACACAATGATAGCCCCCCACTCCCTAGCGAGACCATCAGTAAATCGCACAGCCCTTCCTGGTTTACGCGATACTTTTATCGTTGGTATGTTCTAGTAGGCTCTTAGTGGCTCATCGTGAATTCCGCTAGCGGGCTTATGAGATCAGAATATCGGGTCGAGAACAGTACCATTAACGTGTTTACAGGTGTACTTACCTACAGTTCATATAGAACTAACTTATCAGGAAAGTTAATAGTTATTACTGTTACTGCTATGATAATAGATATTATTATTATTAAGATATTAACTAATATAAAGATTTGCTAAAGAGAACTGGATTTAAGTTTAAGACTAGAGCTATCAAGAATATATATCTTGGGGTCCGTCGGCAGCAAGCAAACCACAGGGTTTATATTATGGAGTAGAACACCAGACAGAATCTACCAGCCCGACTGCTTTTGATTCAGCCATTCATGCCGATATACTCTGGTCTTATGGTGCAGCGTATCATGGATGCCGTGGTGGTGGATGGGAAGCACCAACTCGTGATAATTCTGGGGGACAAAATCCAACTAAGCCCAAAGCGGAAGGCAGTTCGTCGGATCTCGGACCGCGGAGTCATAGAGCCAGAGTGCCTGCGTTCTCCGTGGCACCTGGAAGTAGGTAATAGTAGCTATTCGAACTGGCCAGGGTATGGTTCATATGTTCCATAAAACATATACAGGGAAATAGTTCTTCAGACGAGGGAGATTCGTGATAGTGGCTATGTTACCGGTATGATCAGGTGATTCAACCCTTTCCTAACAGAGTATAGTGGATCTTCATATCTTTCGATAGGAGACTCACTACACAACGAGAGAAATAGCCAATCGACGCGCACATTTTCGTTCAAAACACCATGATTCTCTTCTCACGATACCATCTCTTCGAGATCGGGGATCAGTCCTGGTGTCCGGAATGGATGAGAGCGTACATCCAATCTTGTCTAACTCGGGTCTGGAATTTGCACATCCCGCCTTTCAGCAAGACCTCTCCAGCAGGTATAGCTGCCGATCTTATTCGCGAGCACGTCAAGGACCCCGACTCCTTCACATTTGTTGATCTCTGTGCGGGTGCAGGCGGGCCAACCGCAACCCTTGAGCATGTCTTGAATGCGAAACTCAGAGCGAAAGGCAAGCGAGCGGCGCGATTTGTACTGACGGATCTCCACCCTCGCTTGGAGGAATGGTCTGCCATCAGCAGACGTCAGGAAAACATCTCGTTCATCTCCGAGGGTATGGACGCTGTGGAATGTGAGAGACTGGCCCCGGAGAACCGGAGGGAGTGCAGGATCTTCAATTTGTGTTTTCATCATTTTGATGATTTGCTTGCGTCCACTATATTGCGGAAGGCGACAGAGTCTGCCGATTCTTTTATGTAGGTTCTTCAATTCATATTGGACAAAGAGGAGTGAAATGCTAAAGCTTGGACTGGTAGAATCTTCGAATTTGCCCAGCGCAATTTCACTTCCTTGCTTAGCATCCCTGTCATGTTTCTTTTCCCATTTTGGTATACGCTTTGTCGGTATTGGAATTCCCCTCGACATATGTTCTTCACATATGGTATTCCTTTGTTGTCTTTACTTATGTCCTTTGATTGCCTGGTGTCGATAATGCGTTGTCGGACACCGCAAGAGATTCGAGCGCTTTTGGATCGACAGGACTTGGACCTCAGTGACTGGGAATTTAAAAGCGGGCACCGTATGGTATTCGCACCGTGTGTATACGTCTACTACTACGTCGGAGTAAGAAAGGAACACTTGCAAGATTGACCCCAAAAGCAACCAGTTGGCAGTTATGCAATTCCAATGGTCTTCTATCAATTCATGCTGTTGCACCGTATTTACGCTTCTTTTATCCGTATCTTACACTCTTCGATAGCATCGTATGCCAGAGTGTGCGATTGTCGCCTTGACATAAGTCCTATCCAGTCAGTCTCATGTGTCATACCGGAATAACCCAAAACGAGATCGCGCATCCATTGCAGGATGCCATCTTGCATGTGGAAGGCGCCTCGGTTTCTGAGTGCTCCATTGACGTTGGCTGCAGTGCGGGGTTTACGCAAGTCCTCGTAGATTGTGAGCGATTTGGAAAGCATGTCCCTGAATGTTATGTCCGAAGAGTCCGGTTGGTTCTCTAGGCGCTTTACAATTGAGCCCAATAGCAGCCCTAGTACAGTACCATCCTCCGAAGCCATTGCAGCACCCTGGGCCTGATATGGGAGCGTTGGGTGACAAGCGTCTCCGAGTAGTGTGACCGAGCCCTAGTGAATCGGTACAAATGAGTGGATATCCCGAGGCTGTTTCTATAATCTCTAGGATTAACACACCTTGCTCCAGGTTTCTAATTCGGGCAGGTGGCATAACTTCCACCTTGCCACAGATGATATGCAAGAGATCAAATGCTGCAGACTGTGACAAAAGTTAGCGTTTGAATGCATCAGGAAAGATACACTTGGAGATTCGTACGTCGCGTCCCAGTCCCGAAAGCCCGATTTCATTTCCTCCAAATCACCCTGAATGGTACGTGCCCCAGCAGGTAAATTGTCTGGCAGTAGCAAAACTAGATTAAATTCTTCGCCCCCCCGTACCGGGTAAAATACGGCATGTTTTTCTGGTCCCAGCCAGGCTGTGACAGAAGTTTTGCTACAAAGGCTGTCTATCTCCGGGTCGCCGAGGGCCACGAGTTGCTTCCTTGGAAACACTGCACGGTAGGCCATGTCACCTGTCTCGATGGGCGGACAAGGTCGATCGAAGATTGTATCTCGGACTTTTGACCATAACCCTGACCACGAATTAGTCCAAACTGTCGGGATATCAATGGCAGAACTATAGACAAACCATCAGCACCGATAATAATATCACCTGCTACTGTCTCCCCACTCTCGAGAACGACCTGTGTATCCTGGAAATCCAAGTCATCAACTGTGGCCCCGAAGCGTACCTCCACACCCATCACCATAGCCCTATCAAACAGAATCTGTTGATAGTCTGCTCGGTGAATGATACTAGACAGACGTGAGACAAGAATATTCAACGGCCCAAGTCGAAGCACATAATACATACATCCACGGAGCCCCATACTCTCGAGCGACCGTCTCATCACATTCCATGGACGTTATCAGTTCGCCATTCTTGTACCGTCGAAGATCCATTGATTCGACTATTGCTCCTTTCTGCAAGACCTCTTCCTTCAGGCCAAGCTCCTGCAATACTCGCACGCCATTAGGGGGTATTTGTATACCTGCCCCGACCTAAACATATCGAATACGCTCCAATCAGATCCGCGTAGGCAATTTGGGCACCGCTAGATGAGGCGTTCAAATACTTACGGGCAAGAGCTCAGGGCTGCGCTCGAGGACAATAACGTCCAGGTTTTCGCGTTGGCAGGCAATAGCACACGTCAGGCCACCTATACCAGCGCCTACGATAATGACCCTCATGGCGGCTGTTTGTCCTGAGTGCTGTGATGGGGATCCCGTTGGGTATGGATGGGGCTACTGGAGGTAACTATCACTAGCGCTAGACGCGGCTGCAGATCCTGTGGGGCTTGTAATTTACATTGCATGCTGGGCAAAACATCTCCTCGGATTAGTCGCGTACAGTGAGTGCCCCTTGCTGCGTATGGCGAGTACCGTATGTTTTGGCCGAGAATGGTTATGATATGCATTCAGCGCGGATAGCCATGCACACCAACATGTTATCCAAGCTGAGACATCTTATTTTCTCTTCACGCGTCCTAGGGCTCTTTAGGGATGGCTGTACCGGATTTGATCATCCCGGCTATAAGGAGCCAGCCCGATATCAGGTAGAATCAGGTCAAATGGCTTCTACGACAACTTTCTAATCCCAGCAAGTGTGATTTACAATCTGGTATTAGCGGAATATGTTCTACATATGTTGTCTCTACGGCAATTATAGAATGATTATGGATGAACAACGCAACATTGTTAACATTTACTCCTAGTCACATTGTTCAATGCGCAATACCCTACGGCAAAAAACTGGATGTCAAGTCGGGGAACGTGAATTCTCCAATATCGCCGAATAGAAAGTCATCCATCTGGGGGCCCGTGGAGTCAACGGGAAACTGGACTGGCACTTTGTCGAATTGCTGAGTTTCACTCGCAAAGCTCTGTCCGCCCGCCGTTGAAATGTACGCATTCTGAATCTGTTGATGGCCGTCGGAAAGACTATTAATCCCGAGGCTGGCAGCACAGCCGGCGAGTTTCCGACTGAGACCGGGAGCCATGCGCCGAATTGGATGCTGGGGAATACAGTTTTGATTGCAGAACAAGTCCAGGACGGCGCTAATGAGATGGAATTCATCCTGTACGTTGATAGACAGTTGGTCGTGGTGGTTGTGACATATCTCCAGTAACAGATGGCCGGCGAAAGCTATCATGATATGAAAGTAGTGCGGCATGCCGAGGAGACTATTCTTGAGCTGGTTGTCGTTTAGGATCATCTCGTAGATCCCGACTGCTGCATCGTGGGCCATGTTGGCGGCAGAGACGAAATGCATCGGGATAGGATTCCCATGAAGTCCTTTGAATACCTGATGGCCGAGATAGAGTTTGCCGAATTGGTAGTGAAGCTCCAGACCTTTTCTGGGGAAATCGCCGATGTATGCGTTTGTGATGAACAGCGCAGAGAATTTGGCGAACCATTTATCTAGTTGTCTTGAGTAATTGGTGATATGGTGTGTAAGAGTCGGTGGCAGCTGCGTCTGATTATCGGACCCTAGTACATCTCGCACCTGGCCCATGATTAATAATAGGGACACTTGGGAGAGAATCCGAACATCTGATTCCGTGGTCTCGGCTCGATGTAGGTATGTTTCCCAGCTCACTGCGATGTCTTTGTCGCTGCGTAGGAGAGAGTCACGGTTGTGCAGGATGGAGAGATGTTGGTCGCATACGAAGAGGAGATACCATAGTCGAACTCGATCCACTGAGGTTGTCGGGTTTGCTGCAGATGGGGAGCAGGACTCAGGGTCTCGAGCACCGATGAGATAGTCGAAGCTGCGGTGGAGACGGATGTCTGCCGTCCGTCGAATAGCATCACTACAGAGTATTCGAGAAGCATCTGCGAGCCAGAACGAGGCGATACACAAAGCCCTGAGATATTCAACGTCGCGCTTCTCAAACAGGGACCGCATAACGAGCGAGCGGAACTCCCTGTTGCATGCTGTGTAGTACTTCTGGTCCTGGGGGTCATGGAGGGCTGACACAGTGCAGATCGCGGCCAGGAGGATGGGAGAGGTGGTGCGTAGCTGCTGTAGATCGTGATGCTCACTGCATATTCCGTATAGGTAATGATCAAGACGCGAAAAGTACCGATGTAGTAGCTGTTCTGCGACTGCGAGGGACACGATGCCCTTGGTGATGAGATCATCTCCATGAGTCGCACGACTAGCACGACGACCCGGTGGTGACTCGACCGATTTAGGACTTCCGAGCTTGGCGATATCGAGAAATGTGTCAATGGGGGCCTGGACGGCAGATGGGGAATCGGGTGGTGACACTTCGCATCCCTCACTTTCCTCTCGGTCTGGCTCTCCGCTTACTGGGATGTTCCCCCTTGCCTTTCCATGGTTGGTTACGAGTGGCTTTGGTCGCCCGAGATCCAAGTGTTGGCAAATAATGTCGACAGTGTCATGTAAGTTTCGCAGGTCAGACTGTACCAGCTCCACACTTCTGATCACAGGGTAAGCATTCGGATGACATTCTGGGTCACATTTGCGGGGGAACTGACTTCACGTCTTCCACCAGCGACTGTAGACTACGATTCAACACGCAGGAAAGCGATCGGCGTCGACACCGAACACAAGGAGGACCATCCTGCGGCATGTCACATCGGATCTAACGGAGCATTAGAGTAGGCGCTTAGCAAGTGTAGGAAGGGCCCACCTTGTTCTTCCTACATGCCGCACATGCGGTGATCTTGCGCGTAATAGAAGGCAACATTTCCACCAGCGGCGGTACTCCAGCTTTCTCGCCGGGCTCTTGTTGCGGGTTTCTCTCCGATGCATCACTCGACTGGGGAATCCTGAAAGGGCTTTGCTGCTGTTCTACATTGGGACTCAATCCACTTGCTGCCGGTTGCCCCGGGTTGGGCACTCGTGTTGGACTCCATTGTCGTTTACGCTTAGCCATGAATGTTGTCGATTGTATTATTTTTTCTTGCTGCATTAGGGAGTGACGATGCAATGGTCTCGTAGTTTCTCAGGAGCCATCACAACATCGGATCGGCCGCTTTGTAACCCCGCATCGTCGGTAGATCTCTAGCCGACATGTCGGGGTATGCCCGATGGCTGGTCATCCATTACTAAGACAGGATATAAATCACCTGGAGAACGCGTTGGCTTGCATTCGATAAAGTCTATCTATTGAAGGAAGACCCACGATCGACACCATGCCTTCCTCAGTTGCGGCAAAGTCCAGACCCCTACCCCCTGGAATCTTCTGTCCAGTAATATCTCTTTACAAAGCGACATCTCGACAAGAAATTGACTATGAAGCGTCATACAAATACTTCTCCTACCTAATCCGCGGAGGTGTTGACGGCCTTGTTCTGGGTGGAACAACCGCTGAGGCAGTTTTATTGTCCTCAACAGAGCGACAAGAGCTAATCAAGATCGCTCGACGTGCCGCGGTAGATCTGGGATTTGACAACTTCCCACTGGTAGCGGGTATTAGTGGACAGTCGACAAATGAATCAATACGCTTGGCGGAAGAAGCTCGACAGGCAGGCGCAGACTTCGGGCTCTTGTTGCCCCCAAGCTATTGGGCCAAAGCTGTATCGAAGGACGTTATTATCGACTTCTACAAGGACGTTGCGGACGAGAATATTCTCCCCATCGTCATCTATAGTGTAAGTTACAAACGCCTACAATATCAATTGAGCTTCAGAGAATAACTGACGACACAGTTTCCCGCTGTCTGCAATGGCGTGGACATGAACTCGGATGTCATGTCGACGCTGGCCCAGCATCCCAACATCGTCGGTGTCAAGCTGACCTGTGGGAATGCGGGGAAGGTCACCCGACTTACGCAAGAGTATTCGCATGAACAATTCAGTGTTTATGCGGGTTCATCAGATTGGCTTATTCCCTGCCTCAGTGGTGGAGGATCCGGCTGCGTGACGGGAATAGGTAATGTCTTCCCCAAGTCGGTCGCCAGGTTATGTGCTCTGTGGAAGAACGGAAACGTACAGGAGGCCATGAAGCTGCAGGGCTTAGTTGCGCAGGCTGAAAAGGCCTGCAAAGAGGGTATCGCACCAACCAAGTTCGCAGCAGCGCACTTTGCGGGGCCCCTGGCAGGCGTTACAGAAGAAGAGGCATTTTGGCCTCGAAAGCCATATAAGCCGTCGGCAAAGGGTATGCAAGACTGGGTTGTGAGTGTAATGCAACATCTGGTCGAGATTGAGAATTCTCTACCTGATGTGTCTGGCCCCAGGAGGGCCCAATGAGAACCTATATGTAATAAACGAAGATAAACCGAATAGAAAAAGTAAACCTCATTGAGCCCTGTCCATCTAGTCGTATATGTCTGTATCATTAGAATAGATTGAGAAGCCGGATAGTCGCTACGGTACTTGCTTTAGAAAAATGGATAATGATATAGAATATTGATAGTTATGTGTTCTTAGTTTCCTTGCTGTCAATGTCTTGTGTGTGTTGTCATATGGTGGCTTGATCGGCTGGTAGTGAGATATTGAGAGCCATAAGAAGTGAGGACACACAGATTAAGCTCAGTACAATCTTGTTCTGTATTTTCCATGCTTGAAAGATATGTTATTGTAGTCTATGATACTTCCGGATATCCGACGCCAGTATACATTCTACAAAGCCAATAGTAGTCTAACTCGTGAAGAAATCATCTCTAAGCTGCACGTACTTGATCCTTTGTCTCCAAAAGGTGTACGCAATGTGAATCCTGTCTACACCAAGCACCATACTTGGGTACGATAATTCACGGTTTAGCTTTTTCTCACTGTTGTTCGTCATACAATATCCGTCGCCATCTTCCAATACTCGTCGCTCCCATGTCTTCCCTGAATCATCGCTCCAGGCCACGCATAGTGGTGCTCGTGGTGCTCCCCAGAATGATTCTCTGCCATCTTCTGTGGATCTCTGATCTTGGCGCTCGTCAACGCCATCTCCAATATCATCGTACAGGCCCTGTCGACGTCCTGTGGCGTCTAGCTTGGAAGAGTGGTTGTACACTAGAATCACCCTCCCGGAAGGTAGTACATCGAAACAAATGCCCGCATTGGGGTTTGGAAGAACAGTGGCTTGTGGTGGAGTCCAGGAAAGGCCAGCGGGCGAGGTTGCTAGATAAATATGGTCCGCCCATCGACTCCGAAACAAGCCAAGATAGGACCCGTTTTTTAAGCGCTGGATTTCCATGTGAACGTAGCCTGTACTTTCTGGGATAACAGACTCTGTCCAAGTATGTCCCTCGTCCCTTGACACACGGACACAAGAGATATCGTTATTCCCTAGCCAACGCTCTCCTGGCTCTACGCGACACTTGAAAACGGGAATCACCCATGCACCATCATCCAGCACGATGAGTGGCTGGCGAATGAAGATGCCGGAGTCCGGGAAGAGAACTTCCTCCTTTCCCCAGGTGATTCCGTCATCTTTGGAAATGCGATGCTTCACAATTGCCGAGTCTTGGTTTCCGGCGTGCTGAGACGTGTACAGAAGCCAGAGAGCTCCAGTTGGCGTACGGAATAAGACTGGATTTTGTTCGCTGCGGGTATTGTCGTGGGTCATTCGTATAGCTTCTGACCATGATTGCTCACCCGCTCTCAGACGGGATAAATAGATGCTGATGTCTGGCTTGCCCTCCATACTGCCACCGAACCAGGCACACAGGACATCACCATTGGGGAGTAACAGTAGGTTTGAGGCATGGCTTTGTGCTGTAGCGCCGGGAAGATAGCTCTCCCGGTAAAAGTATGGTCTGTTGGCCTCGCGCAGCAGACTGTCTTGGGGAAGTCCTGGAGTCGATGCCATGTTTAAACAGACAGAGAGAAACAAATCTTGTTGGTATGACTTTAGCACAATGAGTTAGACTGCTCTCTAATCTTAACATGTCTCTTACCGCATCCAACCATAATGCCGCAGTATATAATGACGAGATTGCGTGGCCTTCTGCCGAGGGGCTGCCATGCCAAAAGCTAAAGTAATTCGGGCCTCGTCCGATAGGTTATGGAAAGGTCGGGGGATAGTCCGACCGTCTTCACAGGCTGTCTCCACCTTCCCCAGATCGTCAGCCCGCGAGAATGTGGGGTTGGTGTGTACAAGCTTAATGTGTTTATTTGTAATTGCAAGGAACATGTAGCAGTGATCGAGCCATAAAATGACAGCATGTCATTCACCATAAGACCCACTTCTCCCCCTTGCTCGATGCTCATATAGCTTAGGAATTCTGAGAACCAATATTTATATCAGACTTCCATCACCACCTGGATGCTCTTCGTTTCCCCTCTTATTATCTACTGGGTACTTGTAAGATCCACCATACCAAGTCTTTGTCCTAAAAGACATCCTCCATGGCAGGGGGTACTAGCATCTGGGCGAGTAAGGAAGCCAGAACTGACCCGAGGGAGATTTTCAACCTAAGGCTTCTTTATCTCCTTGTATCAGTTGCCTGGGGTGGGTGGTTCTATGGCTTCGACACCGGCAACATTGGAGGCATTCTCACCTTGCCTTCATTCGAAAATGCTTTCGGTCTGACAAACCTACCGGATGCAGAGGTTGACAATCGAAAGGTATGACCAGTTTAGCTTTGTGATCTAATTGAAGTATATATTGATAGGATCACAGGGAACGATTGCTGCAATGCTTGCGGCTGGTGGCTCAGCAGGGGCTCTCTGCGCTGCACCGACATCAGACTTTCTTGGTCGTAAATGGTCGGTCTTTCTATGGGGATTTGTCTTCGTGGTTGGTGCTGCAATGCAGATGGTGGCTGATTATGATGTCCTTCTTGCTGGTCGCTTCATCGGCGGCATGGGGGTGGGAGCCAGTTCGATGCTCACACCACAGTTTCTGGCCGAGAACTCGCCCAAGTCTGTCCGAGGATCTATGACTGCAACATATAATCTGATGATCCTAGCCGGTATAATGCTCGCCTTTTGGATCAACTACGGAGTATCCTTGTGGTCATTCCCTGGCGTCGAGCATGATAACGCGCAATGGAGAACATCGATGGGAATTCAACTCATTCCCGGGGCTCTGATGTGTCTAATGATACCTTTTGTCCCTGAAACCCCTCGGTACCTGATTAACCATGGCCGCTCAGAGCAGGGGATCAAGAACCTATGCCGGCTGCGGAAGCTCCCTATCGACCATCCCTATGTCCAAACGGAGTACCAGGAGATTGAGGCCCAGGTACGATACGAGCAGGAGTGCTATCAAGGTCATAGCTATTGGGTTGTGATTCAGGATATCTTCCTAATCAAAAGCAACTTCCGACGGTTTTTCCTGGCCGTTATGCTGTTCCTATTTCATAAGTTCACTGGGACAGATTCTTTAAATGTGAGTACGGCTCTTGAACTATTCCAGTACTCCAGACTAACAATATTTATCTTCTAGTACTACGCACCAGAGATATTCGAGCTAATTGGCGTTAAAGGTAGCTCCAACACACTTCTGACCACTGGGGTGTATGGTGTGGTGAAATTTGTTGTCACCATCTTCTACGTGACCTACCTCGTGGATCGTGTTGGTCGCCGCCTCCCTCTGCTCGTTGGTGCATGTCTACAAGCAACCGCAATGTTATACCTCGCATTATATCTCCGATTTGCCGGCACTAACACCGACACGGTGGGAGGCACTCCTGCGGGAGGCATAGTTGGTATTGTATGGATTTACATTTACGCCTTTGGCTGGTCATTCGGTCACAGCGTGGCATGCTATGTCGTGGCTGCCGAGATATTCCCAACCAGAATCGTACGTCATTCCCACCACTTTTTCCTTATCTTTCTATCTTCAATTGACAACTAACCATAAAATTATAGAGGTCGGTCTGCATGTCCATTTGCTTCTTCGTCAACTGGATCGTCGATTACGGTATCACGCGGGCGACACCAAATATGATTACCGAGATGGGATGGGGCGTCTTCCTGCTCTACGCGCTATTAACTTATTCCGGGGTGGTGTTTATCTTCTTCTGCCTTCCGGAGCTCAAGGGACGGTCTCTTGAAAGTATAGATGATTTGTTCCAGAGACCGTTGTGGAGTATGTGGCGACATGCCTACCCCACAGAAGAAGAGAAGACACGCCAAGGTATTCCGCAATTGATGAAGGGTGGAAATGAGGATGACAGAGACGGAGATAAGGATCGTCCGGTTCATGTTGAGTCAGTTTAAGGTGTATGCGAATGGCTGTTATTCAGGTTTAATTTTGATCGCAATATGCAATATCACTCAAGGTTATAGGAATAATTCTTCCTCCTGACCATTAGAGCAATCGTAGATGGATAATGTTAAGAAACATAGTGTTCGATATTCAGCCCCTATAGACACTATCTCCTCCCTTGCCCGGCCGGCACCATCATTTTTGTTCCTTAGATAATTTAGGCCTTCTAACCTATATGAACTGATCTGTTCTCCCATAGATGCGTCTGAAAAGGCAATTTAGCTCTCGTTGACATTTGTTCGGTGGTTTGGGCGCTCTAATAAGTACGGCGGAGGAGTAACAGTAAACAAGAATATATCTCCACTGTTCAATGGAGCGGTTGACACTAAAGTGCCACCAGGATACTGTTCAATGATAATCTCAGTAATATTAACGACATATACATCGGTCGATTAACGAAGCTGGTTGATCAGGCCATTGATTCGACGTAGGACCCTGCTAGAACATGCCGGTGAGTCGCGTTGCACCACCGGCGTTCTCTCCGACGCATCCCCCCCCACACGACATTTTACACCCGAGGGAACACTATGTCCCTCTAGTATGGACAAGTGTATAATAAGTGACATAGCCAATTCTCTGTAGTGATCTGGTCGACTAATTACGCATCACAATATGGCAACTTTCACTCTGAACACAGGTGCTAAGATTCCGGCCGTAGGGTTCGGGACATGGAAAGCGGCGCCCGGAGAAGCTGCAGCAGCAGTGAAGACAGCGTTTGACGTTGGATATCGGCATTTTGTAAGTCTGCTTCAGTTATTTTATCCTCTACTTTTTGTTTTATACATATCACTAATTTTAAATTGTAGGACTGCGCCCCACTATGTATGTGCCACTGTCATCAGAAACATGAACATTTCCAACATCTAACCCTATCTTCAATACAGACGGGAACGAGCGCGAAATCGGAGAAGTATTCAGAACCACTAAGGTACCTCGAAGTGAATACTTCGTCACAACTAAACTGTTTGTCTTCACTTACACCCATGAACGAACATGTGTACAATACTAACCCAAGTTGACAGATGGTCCTCAGACCACCGCCGGGTGGAGTCTGCTCTCGATAAATCTCTCGACGATCTCGGCCTCCAGTATGTGGATCTATATCTCATGCACTGGCCAGTAACACTGGACCCATCTTCTAACCCAGCCGAATACGGCAAAGAGAACCGCAAAGTCCACGCAATAGGCTGGGACTTCAGCGACACCTGGCGGGAGATGGAGAAGCTATTGGAGACGGGCAAAGTGCGGGCAATCGGCGTGGCGAACTTCTCGACCGTGAACCTGGAAAGGCTGCTCCAGACAGCGAACGTGGTGCCGGCCGTTAACCAGACTGAAATCCAGCCGTTGCTGCCGCAGGATAAGCTGCACGCGTATTGCCAGGAGAAAGGGATTCATCAAACTGCGTTTGGACCGCTGGGTGGGTCTGGGAGTACGTTGCATTCTCATCCGGTTATTGTAGATATTGCCGCGAAGAGAGGGTGTGATACCGGGAATGTGATGCTGAGTTGGGGGATTCAGAAGGGGTGGAGTGTTGTTCCTAAAAGTACGAATCCCAAGCGCATTCTGGCTAATCTTGTGGGAAATGTTCAGTTGACGGCGGAGGAGATGAAGTTAATGGATTCTTTGGCTGTGCCTAAGGGAAAGAGGTTTAATCGGCCGGACTGGGGAACTGTGATCTTTCATGATGATGCAAACGTGGACCTGGAGGAGTAAGTCAATATGGTCCGATAGTTGTCGGGTGGGGATATATGTTATATTAGAAGGACATTGTGGCCTATTGTTAGCATACGTCTCCTTGACGTGTGTTGGTCGCTATCTATACCTTCGGATATGAACCTAAACCATTTACTACTGATGTCGCTCGTGATAATTCTGCACGCCAGCTGGTTAGACGCGCCTTACACAGAAACGAAACGTAGATTACAGCCAATATTATGGAGAATTTGAAAAGTTTTATAATGTGGCTGCGAGGGAATGGGAGGAATGACCTGCATTTCGAAATATGCACTCGTAGTGCGATCCACTTAGGTGTATACCAACGTTAATAGCGTGTGTTCGATCGGCAGACACCTTTCACTCCCAGATTAAGGCTCTATATATAAGTAGTATTTGTATCGATGCTGTATAGGGTATTAGACGATTTAGCATTTCTGACAACGTAAAAGATACTACAGTGGGCAAAGAAACGACATCGAATTAGACAACAGAGTCTGCAAACCCGTGAACCGTTTCATTGGCATGAAGACGCCTTAAAAGGCATTAGGTTTATCTGACGCAAGAAGCTATAACAAAATCCGGAATAAAAGATCAAAATAACTAAACAAATGAAACAAACCAACGAGCCACTGCTTCTGTAATCCTGGTGTCATTCCGGATGTGAAGCGCCTTCACAAATTGTGTGGAATGCGAGCCAAGGGTGGAATATCAGTCGACATCTGATAATTTGGAACACTAGCGTGTCTTGTGGCACTTCCTTGCGTTGGATAAGCCTGTGGTTGGTTGTCATGCAGAGCCGCGGTCTGAGGATGAGCTTCTATTTCGTACATCTGCCCATCGTTGTGTGTAACTGAGTTAATAGAATCGAGTGAAAGGCACTGCCGCTTCACCGGGTCTGTACAATAACTATAATGATGACTCCCTGCAACTCCAGGTGCTGTGTGACTTCTAAAGATATCACCGGGCATATGCAGTGAAGCGCGATCTTGAGAACAAGGAGGAGCCGGCTGGGTACAATGCTCCAGACGCGGTGGGACTGATCGCTTTATCAACGACCGCAGCTTCTTTCGCAGCCTCAGTTTTACACCCTGGTCTACGAGTGATTTGGACAGAGGGGTTGACTCCGCCATTCCAGGAAAGCTCTTTCGGCGAAACACGGTGAAGCGGTCCGAGATGATGGACTGCAAATGAGTGGCGGCACCCTTACCCATTTCGAAGAGTGTGAACTTTAGGCGAAAGTCTCCTTCGACTTCCACCGACAGGTCCCCAAATACGAAAAGGCCCGTCTTGTTATTATCCTGGTCTTTCAGCTCGTGAAGTGACGATACTAAAGTACCAGTCAAGTTCGTAGATGGCGGCAGTGTGCCATCTGAGGGATTTGCCAAGCTGCAGCACATAAAATAGTGGGGACTTTCTAGATAGTGCTGCGCGAGGTAACTTGCCTCCGCTTTTACTCGGACCTGCACTACCGGTGGGGGGTCGACTGGCCTGCGTTCTCTCTCCCTCCCACCGGCCATGCGTGCCTGAGCGGGCTGCTGTCGGATGATTAACTCAAACTCCGAACCGGGGGACGACATCATGAGCAGGAAAGGTTGAACACTGAGGGGTGCTACTAAGAGGAGTATAAGTTAACGTCTATGGATTTGTAAGGGTGAGATATTGAACGAGACTAACTAAAAATAATAAAGAGCTAAAGGGTCCAGATCGGGAATATCCGTAGAGAGGGTTGCCAGGAACCATAAACAAAGGACTAAGATACTCAGGGAAGACGCAGAAAGGCAGATTCGGTGGTTTTGCAACAAAGCCAACATGAGCTGCAAAACTTTGGAGTTTGCTTCCTGATCTACGCAGTCATAGCGTCAGAATGACATTGGTATGACTATCTGATCTCTGCGACGGTAAGCCAAAGCCGCTATTCTGCATTTCCTTTGATTCATTGGGCAGGCAGCATGATCTAAATTACTTGGTCTTCGTCAATGACTAACATCACGAAGTCGTTTGGTATCTTTCCATTTTTATAGATGGCGGTTGAATCCTGGTACAGGACGGCACAATCAGCTCGCCCAAAAAGGACGCGGGGAAAGGAAAGCTGGTGCCAGGATCAAACTGCAATAATGCTGTACGGTGACTTTGGTGTTTTAATTTCATTATAAACCTCCTCTTTCTGAATTCTTTAGGTTATAACAAGGTAGCAAGGTTAGGGTATTTTGGAGATAATGTGCAGGGTGTGGAAGATACAGGATCTCTTAGCACGAAATGGTATAACTTTTTGCGGGGGCCTAATGGGCAGAGGGAATAGTATGTTGAGTATTCAAACTTTTGGCAGCTCTCCTTAAGGTCTCTTGTGCCAATTGATCGTACCTTGAAATGGCACTGATGAGGGCGTCAATGCGAGGCAAGACTTAGGCCAATGTATCCTCGGGTGAACAAAGATCAACCACGCAGAGCTTAAGACCGCGATCCTGGATGTTACTACCAGCTTCCTTTCGAGTACAGCTTGGCTTGGCTAAAGCCTCCACGTCCTGTAGTGACATGAGTTATTCGGGCCATTCTGGGAGCAAATCATCAAAGGGCACATATTTCTTGGCCTCAACTAAGCGATCGGGAGGAGAGCTATCCGTTTCATTAATGGCCCCTAGAAAGAGGACGCGAGGCAAACAAAACCTTTTCGCAATGAAAGATAAGTATGATATGAAAGACTGAAGTGTCTCAAGGATTCTGTGAATCCCTATCTATATTCCATTCCGTAGTATAAATCATATGTTTGTATACCGGACGGCCCTCGGCACCGCACGATAGAAACTGGGTTCCCACGGCATAGATAATCTGAAATACAAAATCAAGGCCTGTTCCCGGTGTTACAATTCAAATCTCCCTTGGATGTGGCTTCTCAAATTTCAACCACTTCTCCGGCACCTCATGTATCCGTCCTGTTTCCGATGCTTCTGAGAACCACTCACTAAATTCTCGATACTCACGCTTCGTCGCGCCCGATCCCGGACCCAAATCGAAAAATCTTCCATCTAAAGGTCCGAATCCAGTTGGCACCATATCTGCTGTACACTGATCATTCAGGATACAAATACCGCGACCAATCATAGCGTTCATAGTTTCGACATAGCGCTTTACAAAGTCGGTAGAGGAATCGCCATCTTGTCGTGGAACATAATTCTTTACTTCGCTTTGGAGGATAATAGAATCAGGATCAGTGCCTTCGGCGATAAGACGGTCGCGCTCCTGACGCGCCGAAGTCGCGTAGTCTTGGGGAGTCTCATAGACCATAGGCTCGTCATCCGAGTAGTCTCTGGAGCTCTGAGCTGATTCGGAGTGCATTATACCCGAGGGTTGGTGTTGTTGCCCGGACATTATAGGTGTTGCGGCAATATCCTTCATCCTCAAACCGTTCTAGTCTTCGCTGTAGCTTTCCTATGTCGAGGGAACTAAATAATGGATAAAGCCCTGTGGAAGCATACAGAAAACCTGGTCTGGTTTGAGGGGTATAAATACGTTGTATGCTGACAAAGAGGGCTCAACCTGCATAGTTAGGCAGCACTGCTGTATGTAGTAGCCTTGCGCCACAACAGGGGTTCCACTGTGGAAGCACTCAATGGCTCAGATAAACCTTTATGCCGATGGTATTAAGAGAATATGGGTTAGGACTCCATCGGAAGGTAACGTGACAAGGCTGAGCGGTGCATAGTTATAATACTCAAGGAGCGAAAATACGTTCCTGTCCAGAATCCAGAATATAATTCATATCGATGGGTTTATTTAGTACGAACGCAATCTAGTACTCCAGGTTCAGTCTGGGCCATTTCCATATATATAGTACGTGACTGTAGTTCTATGTGTCAGATCTTTCTTGCACTGCGCTTGTGCGTATTTGTGGGCAGGTCAATGTGGACAAATCCCGGAAGGAAGAACAGTAACTTCAAATTAAACAATTATTAGAGCTAGCATCGCTGGGCCAAAGACACCGTAAATGAACATGGCCTGACTACCCAAATGAAATCCGCACCTGCAAAGGCGAATGACTATCGGATGTATGCTGTTTGTCGATGGTCTGGCCCCACCAGACATTGTCGAAACCATGTATCGTTTGCTCTGTCCATACCGCTTCTAGTAGCGGTATAGCTGTGCTGAACATGTGGTATCTTGTTCTATCATTCCAAGATGCACAGATGTCCAGGATCTTCCTGCGGGACGAGTGATCTCGTAGTTCACAGCCCGCAAAGAAGAGCGGTAGTAAGGCCTGTCTGGAGACCATGCATTCATTGCGACAAGCAAAGACATGGTCCATGATAACCCTTGCGCGGTACAGAGTATGCATCGGGACACTCTGCCCAGGCGCCCAACGAAACACCCTGTATAGATACAGGAGGAGTCCATTCCTCCAAGCCTCTGCGCAGTGCATGTTGTCTACATCTTGCTGCATGCTCTCTTCGTCTTTAAAAGCGGTGGCGGGGGAAATGTGATGCCATGTCTCGAGCGATCTTTCAATTGCTGACAGGACCGTGGCGGCCTGTGTTACGGGCGATCTTCGCTGTTCTGCAGCTAATCGGGCTACTTGCATCACCACCTTCACGAGACTGAGTGGACATCCGCATAGACTGAAAAAGTCCCACTCCTCGCTGTTGTATTTGAACAAAAGGGCTTCAAAATATTCATAAGGAAAAACACAATCTTCCCGGTTGACCAGGCTCGTGATCGCATCCCACCTGACCCGTCAGCTAAACCTCTTCGCATGGGAAGGCGAGTTTCTGATACCATAGCAGTATTCCTATTTGCACTTGTGTGCTAGCGGAAGCGACCCACATGTTTATTCCACCGCAAGCTTCAACAAGACCATGTGCTCCGAGAAGATGGGTACGCCAAGTTCCGAGGGCAGATTGGGTTTCCTAGAATAAAAGGTAAATCAGGGGTATATTTGACGTGTGCTAGGACGCGACCAACATCTAGTGAAAATAGTATGGCAATAGTGTCCAGGATAGCAGAGCTATGTCCAGGGTTTGTGCATGTGTTGAGATTCTCGCGGAGTGACTGAAGCGCGGCATGACGATGGATGTCGGTGGATTCGCTCTCGACGTGATGACCAGCTAGAGCCATCACCGCATGGATCAGAAACATTGGTTTTGGGCCGGAGCTTTCTCGGTACATAAAGGGGTTCATTTGCATATCGGATGTTAATGGGATTCGGCAAAACTCCATGTTATCTTGCAGGTCCGAATTAGCGAAGCATTGAAAAACTAGAACAGACATACACCTTTGAAGCACATTGTTGTACCGTTGACCAAGGGTGCTGTACAGGATACCAGGTGGTATGGAGATGGGGACAGACGGTTCTTCAGGCGGACCATTCAGGCCAAATACATTGGTATCAGACCTTTGAGCCTCGCCTCTGCCCAGAGAAGTAGATAAATGCGCAGGTATACATATATCTATGCTTGAGTGTCGATACGGCCGACGCTTGGTAGTCACACCGTAACTTGTACGTAAGTCCCGGCTGCTAATCGTGGACGTAATATAAAAGTCAGCAAATATTTAATTAAAGGAAGACGGATTTTCTTTTGCAGACCGTAAAGAGTGCTGGTCCTGAGCCGGATGCTCTACGATAAATTCCAGTTGGTGCGGGTCGGCATTGGGCCTGCGGGTCCTCGACCGTCTGACTGGTTTCTTGGACAACGAAAAGCCTGGCTGCCAAGAGATCTGAAATTCCCTCATACTAATGGATAGCAAGTGTCCGGCATTGATTGAGTCTGGGCAAGCGTACTTCTGAGGGCTCGATGTGCAACAGGTGACAATGGACCTGGATTAATGCTTAGTTCCGCTCCGAGATCAGCCTTACCTGTTTGGGCCACTTGCCTATTTAGGACGATTGCCCGTTTGGGTATTCCGGAGTCCACTCGACGCTCATGGCGAGATTAAAATCTGTCATGCGTCAGTCGTTGTAATAATTGCCAACTACTATTTGTACCTGAATACCTATCTGCTTTGTCCAAAGCTGTCAAACGTTCTAACGAATTGACGTTGACAGCTGATGTCTGCATCACCCGTGGATGATAAGTCCTAACGGATATTGTATGAGGGTATAGATACACTAGTCTACCAGAATCCTTTGCCACGGAAGAGAAACTCAGAGACTATTTGAGATGAATGGTATTGATTTAGCCAAGCGTTCGGACTCTGTGCCAGAAGGTTCGTCAGCCCCATGGATCAAAATTTCACTTCATCACTTACCCTGCTGACGATGGAATCGTAGGGCCAATCCATACCACAGATATTACAATAGTCAGTTGGAATGGGCCAGATGATCCACAAGATCCTTTCAACTGGCCTTCGTGGAAGAAGTGGTGGGCGACCGGACTAGGTCTCCTAGCGAGTTTCATTTGCTCAATGAACGGAACGATCCTATCTGTTGCCCACGAGGATATTAGTGAAGAATTCCATATCTCGGATGCAACATTCCCTCATTCCTACTGGTTGACCACTTCCTGGGGCTTAGGGGCCGCTCTGTGTCCGCTGATCCTATTTCCTATCATGGAGGACTTCGGAGTCCGACCTGTACTTCTCAGTACCTATTTTGTCTTTGCTTGTTTCCTGGTCCCAGTGGGCTTTGCCCATAACTACGTGACATTGATCATTGTCCGCTTCATCAGTGGTGGATGTGTTCCACTGATGAGTGATGCAGTTGCTAGCATGGCGTCGAATGTCTTTCATGGCGATCGAGCCAGAAGCATCCCGATCAGTCTATACGTCACTATATATCTTGGGTCAACAAGCATAGGTCCAGTTATCGGCGCAGCGATATTGAAATTCCTCTCTTGGCGCTGGATAGGCTATATGGAAACAATCTGGACAGCGGCAGCCTTCCCACTCTTCGCTCTCGGTCTTCCGGAGACTCGAGGATCAGCCATTCTCCGAGTGAAGGCCAAATCCTTCCGTTCGGACGGCAAGAACGCGTACACAGCAGCAGAGCTCGAACTAGACCGTACGCCATCGTACCAAGTTGTCATCAAAAGTATGAAACGACCACTGTATATGCTCGTCACTGAATTGGTGGTTTTTGTCGCTGCGCTGTGGGCAGCCTTCAGCCTCGGAACAATTTATCTATTTACTCAGTCCGTCGAGCAGGTTTATGCCGAACTTTATGGCTGGGATGCTGTGAAGGCAGGCTATGTCCAAGTTGCTATTGTAATAGGCGAAATCCTCGGCTGTCTGATTTGTATATCTACCGATCACTGGTATCATGACTCCGCATTTCGAAATATCGAGATACCAGGCGTGCCTATCCCCGAAGCCAGGCTATACTCATCAATCATCGGGGGTCTTCTTGGTGCCACTGGAGGGATGTTTGTATATGGATGGACTTCATATCCCTCCGTACATTGGAGTGCACCAACCGTCGGCCTGGCGATGGTGGGCTTCGGAACCACTGCCGTTATCATAGGTAATGCAAACTACCTCATAGACGCTTATAGTAAGTATGCGGCCAGCGCCCTTGGGGCGGTAGGCCTTGTGGAGAATATTGCCATCGCATTTCTTCCGCTCGCCACTACAGCCATGTATACGGTTCTCGGATTCCAGTGGGCTAGTTCAGCCCTTGCATTCGTGTCTCTGGTACTGGTTGCAACACCGCTTGTGATGCTCCGATGGGGGACGGCCATCAGGTCTCGAAGCCCGTTTATGAGAGAGGCTATTATTGATAGGCGAAGGGGGAGCATCCAGACAGGCAATATATGATTGCAGTCACTGATCTTCACTATATTCTACTTTCAAAAATGATGCTGCTAGTGGAATTCAGAATACGTGCACATGGGTTGACTAATTATTTGGTAGTCGGCTCGCAAGCTCCATAGTTCGAGATCTTATTCCATTTATAGTTGTTGCGATCCTACTATTTAGTTTACCATAGAGCTGCCTGTTCTTCATCTCCTGACCATGGTGAATACAGAACGGCTCAAAAGCCATCATGCGAGCTGAACACCAGCAGGCAACCCAAACACCTGGTTATTGACTTCGAAGCCACAAGCAGAAATACCTTCCCCCTCCGTCAAGCAGTTGCCGGTGTCAAGGTTCTTTAGATTCCCTGTGGTTACATAAGACCATTTCTGCGCACCATCCTCTTTGCACTCCTTTAGGGATATGGCTTTATCATCCGCCGTCAAACATTTCGATGGATCAGACAATGTGCGGATCAACCCCGATGCGTCAACTTTCCATATCTGCGATTTGCTCCCATTGCAGGATTCAAATCCCACGGATGATGTGGTGCCCGTCAGGCACTTTCCGGAGGCCGTGTTAAAGATGATACCGGTGGGTGTAACTGCAGAGCACTTTTGGTCGATTTCTATTTTGTACACAGCGGTCGCGTGTGTGTCTAGCTTAACATGTATAGTATCTTTGATGTTCTGGGTCGACCCATCCCACAGATCCTGTGACTTGTATGTACAATCGGTGGACAGGCCGAGTATATCCAGAGAGATGTCTGTTTCGGCTGGATCGCTACCATGGTTGAGGATGGTGGCTAATCGGGAACCGTCGGCAAGACTACGAGTCAAGATATCGAGGGAACTATCCCGGCTCGCTAGTGTTGCCTGTTGAGCTAGTGGATCCTGATCAACTTCAATTAGGGCTTGATTCGTCAAGTACTTTAAGTCTTCGGATGATAAATCAGGGATATGGGCACTGATGAACAAGGGTGCCGAGAAGGATGCCCAAAGTGCGAATTGAGATCGCTTTTCGTCGAGCGAAAGTCCCGGATGGTCAGAGATCAGGAAGTCAGGGTCATTGTAATACCCAGGACGTTGATACCGAGCCACCAGCGTGTTGAACCTATAGTTGGTCATGATGCTGTCCCAGGCACTACCTTCTCCACCGTAGACGATAATGTCATCCGAGTGCCGGGCGAGCTCGCCGTATTCAGGAACCCAGTCCATGACCGTATGCCAATCAGTGAGATTGTCAGTCATGGAGAAGTACGCAGGCGCTGACTCGGAGAATATTAGTGGCTGCTGCATCCTGCTGAGTATGTCGTGCCAATGGCTGTAGAGGTATTTGTATTCTTCCTGCAAGTTGCGACCCTCCTTCGGATAGACGTTACATCCATCTAATTTCAGATAGTCGATGCCCCATGCCGCGAATGTTTCGGCGTCAATTTCCTCGTAACCCTCGGATCCAGGATAGCCACCGCAGGTCAGGTTCCCTGAATCCTCGTAGATGCCAAAGTTGAAGCCTTTAGATTTGACGTATTGCCCAAGCCAGGGAAGACCGCGTGGGAACTTGGTGATGTTCCATTCAAGTGACCCATTGTCCGCGCGATCATAGTTCATCCAGCAGTCGTCCAGATTGATACGGTTATAGCCCGCTTCTAATAGACCGGTGGAGGCCATTGCGTCCGCAGTGTCGACGAACAGTGTCTCATTCAGGTCGCACATGAATCGGGCCCAGTTATTAAATCCCATAGGCGGCGTCGGCAGTAGGCTTGGATTTTCAATGGACGCGACCACCTGGGCTGGCATGGTACTAGCCAGTGCGGTCGCTAGAGGTACCCAGCTCGTTGTGAAGCGCATATTCTCGGGTGCCTTCTGATATATATACAATTAGCTCGGCAAGAAGACAATTCGCCTATGAACATCTATGTGATACTTCTATCTACCATGGGCGGCATCATGGGACTTGGAGAGTTATAAATCATGCCATTGTCAACTCGCCCGATAAGTAGCGGGGTAAGAAAACACCGATTGATCCGTCAGCTACTACATATAGCCAGGGGGTGAGGATATTAATTGGCCGACTCCGCCGATCCCCGCGCGATATGGACGATCTACATTCCTCCGATGGCACCTTCAGTGACCTTTGCCGTCGGGTATATGCATTGATACGTGTACACACTACTACGGTAGTATTAATATGTAAGGAGAGGTCACATCTGAGGTTATGCTACCTCAATCGGTATCCTGAGTAATGTACCTTCCCTACTAGAGCTCACAACACCCCAGTCGGTTGGGCTTAGTAAAGACTAGACGGCGTACTACCATTTGGTTTACCGGCCAAGAAAAATATCCATGCATAGTTAACTGCAGACTTTCATATATCGTGTCTTTTCTCTGTCTAGGAAGCTTGTCTGTCATCCCCAAATCGCTTATGCCATCCTGATTAGTGTTCCCCGAGACCACCCCCGTACTTGATGCAGATCTGTCGCTCTGGGTATATTTTTTCCCTTATAAATTTAGAACTGGATCACATGATTAAACAACACAATGTGCCCTATTTTACGTTGTTGGTGTATACATGGATGGGTCCGTCCCTACGGAGTAATTGAAGGTACAAACTAGAGGTCCTGCAAGTGCCTCTTGACATGAGATAACTTGCACTTCCAACCTAAAATACCAAACAACCACTTGAAGTATGCATTAGCCTAGCAGAAAATGCGCCAGAATCCCAGCATAATAATCCGCATCATCTATCTGATCAGCCGCGTCCCGATCCTCTTTCGACCACGCAGGATTATTGACCTTTTCAAGAACTGCTTTGGTGGTAGCTCTATCAAACTCAGCATGTCCTTGATATGTGAGCACTCTATTTGGCTGAAACAGGCCCTGGACATTGCAGATATCGCTCTTTCCCAGTATTATCCAACCTGGGGGAAGAGACCCAGCTGACACAGCCACTTGATCCTGGTGTATGAATTGAATTTTCCGTTGGACAGCAATGTCCCCATTCATAAATTGCGGAAAGTAGCTTAGAAACTCGGGTTCAAAGTCAACCCCGCGCACACCTATTTCCCACCCCTTTGGATTCTTCTCGATCCGTACGCCACAATCTTCTAACAGTGCCAATGCAATCACCTGGTGTCCGAAACATGAACCGAACAGTTTAATATGCGGGTGATTGTTATACACATCTGGGGTGATGTTAGTCTCGTGGAGAATATATCTTCTACGAAGGGTAAACTATACCTCGTAGAACGTCCTGCATCTGTTTTATCCAGGGATGAGGATCGTAAGTTGACTTTGATGATCCGGTGATAATTATTGCATTTATGTCGGCGAAAGATGTTGGGAACTCATTGGTGGTACAGTTATAAATTGCATACGATATGGCGATGTTCGAGGTATCAAGGCGCTCTGTATTATAGTATAGTCCACGTTCGATGAGGTTTTTAAACATGTCAGGACAGGTGCGGCCCTGGATGGGCTTGAGACAGTTGAAGATGGCAATGTGCATTCTTAATTACTGTGTGGGTCAAGTGTCATAAGTGTGTCAATCAGGTGGGTATCCTGTTGTGTATTTTGCTTGTCAACAGGTGACAGATGTGATCTAACCGGGAAAAAAAAAGTTCTGGGGTCAACGATATTTAGGTAGGGAATGGCTCCATTTTATAGTGATGTGGGGAATAAACTAATTTAGTGATGGCCAGTGAAAGCCCTTTCCGTGCATAACAGGTTCATGTATACCTTTCAAGGACTCTGGGCCTCTAGCTTGGCCTTCTTGGCTAGATCATATCTCTGACCCTGATCTATTTCGAAAATATAAGTAATGGTAATATATAATGTCCTACTTCACTTGTTTATAATTCAGGAAGGCCTCGTAGAGAAGATGTCATGACGTCTTATCTGCGCCCCTTATGAGTAGCGAGGAGCTGAGCTACGTGATTAAACGATGAATTTAGCAAGGAGAGCAAAGAATACCGCCAAGGCCAAAGATTCTTGGCATAGGATTGTCAAGTAACAATTCATTTCTACACCACCATCCCAAGCTGAAAGAGAAGTCCCCCTCATCTATTGTTTCTCGATATCCACGAAGAATCTGTAGTGGAGACAACCTTCTGACTCCCAATAGCAATGACACTCTCCATGGCTCTGTAGTCTTCCCAGGGACAGATTCCTAGACTCGCTTACTGGCTGTGAACGTATGTAACCGAGAACATTCATACTTTATGCTAGACCTCAACAATGATGCCCATTCCTATCAGAGGGCTCATACTGATATGATACCCGTTCCTGTCTATATCCTTCCCTTCTAGAAGAGAAGGATTAGTATCTCCAGACAGGAAAGGCTGAGTGTGAGACTTGCCGACTCTTGGAACCATGTACAACGGGCATAGGTATGATCTTTTACCTTTGGTTGACAGTTATAACCGGATTGTTGTCTACAAAACCTGTGCCTCCGATGTTGATGTCTTTCGCAGGGGGCTTCCACATGTTCCCGGAGTTCTCCTGTTTCACAACTATTTTGCTCTTGTTGTTGATCAACTCCTACGGTTGGGGAACCTGTTGATGTATGGCCCTATTCAGGCCATCACAATCATTGCAATTGCTGTAGTAAGGCATCGCTTCTACCTGTACGTGGAGTGCGCTACTTGAAATGAGAACGTGAATGTCATATTCAGATATGTATCTAATCATCGGCTTGGACGTCGACATTAACTCCTTCCAATCCTCTAAGTTCACCAATAGCATCATCGTCCAATCTAATCGACCGGTCAGTTCACAATACCATACCAAGCAGGATATTTCCATTTGGTGAGTTTTCCATTCTTCCCTCCTCTATAAAGGTCAATACTTACTGTGGAAGCAATATCATTGGAGGCATGTCACGAACTATCGGGTATGACCCTGGCGGAAAGCCATTGCTCTCAAGGACCCTAACTCATAATATTAATCAAAAAGCGCTTATTGAAGTTCCAGTTAACATAAATAGTCTTACTGGTGGACCGGGGAGCCATCATCATAAAAGATTTCAGGATTCTCAAATGCAACGACTACCTGGTCAAGACATCAGCACTGAACTACGAACAGGTCAAGTATTGTAGTATTGCTCCATGACATACAGGCATTTTGAAGGAATGTTTCGATGTTTGCGAGGGATGGTTGATGAAGATTTGGAGAGACGACGGGAGCAACAAGTCGGAACGAGATACTTGTACCAATCTTACAAAGTCAAATCGGTTGTTGATGGCGTCATGTTTTCACCCTCCTATATGCATGCCCCTCATTTTAGCCCACCTGAGATCACTGCTGGCTCCAATAAAACCTTCTGCCAGTTGACTTTGTATCTCGGTAGAAGATGTGTCAGTGCGTTAGGTGGGGGAACTTCAGCTCTTGGCAGATGTGTTTCCTCGGATGGGAAGGATCAACATCTGTTGTTGAACCCATTTAGCCTACTCAAGCAACCGAGAGAAGCCAGGGAGTATGGCTTATCCTAGGATTGACTGTATCATCACTTGGTTTTCTACCAAAGCACACCTACTTCTCTCATATAGCGACGATATACGAGTTCCATCGACACAATCCTATGTAACCATCATGTAGTTGACAATTGTACATGTTCCCTGCACAGGAAGCTTTTTCATCACCTATAATCGCTAACGTAGCGTACACGTGTCACTGCACAGTCTTAGCTTTGCGTGAACACGGGCGTTTGGTCATTAGGACCCTCAAACACATTGCGCCAGTATTCCGATACGCGATCACAGATCCCCGACTTGCCCCTCCAGGACTCGAATACATGCTCCAAGTTACAGCTAACCCATTTGATCTCCTCCCAGTAGCTTTTCTCGGCGACAAGCCATGCCCTCCCATCGCTACCATCCGGCTTCAACGTCGGTGCGGTCTCCCACTGATTGCCGAACAGGTGCTCTGCGGGGTTAAACTTGGGATAATGCGCATGGACAAAGAACACCCGAGGAGCCTTCGCGACAGATGGGTCTTTAATCCGCCATTTCCCTTCGCTGGTCAGTCGGTAATCTTCGATCGGGTCCGCTTGAACCATGGCAGATCCTGAAATACCCCCGTCGGGCTTCGCATGCCCGACAGCGGATACCTTCTCGCTGACCGTGTAGAACGGCTCGCCCATGGCAGCTGCGGCCTGGATGAAGGTTTCCTTGTCTCCTTCCCCCGGCGCGCCTTGCGAAAGTAGCATGAAATAGTGCGACGGCCCATAATAGTTGTAATAGGCAGCTAGCAGCAACGTCAGGAAGTGAGTTTTCTTCGAGATCAGGAACACCCCGGTTTCTGAGGAAGCACGCTCCGTCATCGATGGAACGGACTGTCGAGATATATTGTAGTACAGAGGCGAGGCCGTCGAAGCCCAGAAGTCCGGCCAGGTAACGAGACCGGTTGATGTAAACGGCTCGTTCTGCAATAACGACTCGGGCTTATGAAGCGGGAAGCCATCTGAGTCCATCCAGATGACATTCTCGAAGGAAGAAAACAACACCGCAAAAATCTTCAATTGGTAGTGCGCGATCTCCTGTGTGGAGTAGCCTTGGCTGGCCTCAATGTCCGAAAGAATAATGCATCTCGCGTTATACTGAGGAAGGATTTCTGCACAGATCTTGGCCTCATATTCTGTTGCGTCCTTCACGAAGAGCTCCACGGGTAGAGTTGAGCCAGTCCGTCGAAGCATGCGCAATGAAGTGACAAACAGCGGAAGGTATGACTTCCCGGCGCTGGACACGATGCCGCTGGTTCCAGGGTTATAGGCCCTATCTATATTTGAGCTTCTTATTGCATCCACGAACCTGTCATGCGCGCTCTGTAGCGGTCCTTGGATGCGCTCGGAATTGGTAATAAGGTCCGGCCGAGACACGCCTTTCACGGCATTAAACGGAATTGCTCCGGAACTGTCATCTCTCTCGGGGGAAGGACATTCCGGGGCATGGTCCTCTAACAAGGAGCTGAGTTGTTGCCACAGGAGTGTTTGTCGCGCTTGGAGTGACGAAGGTTCAATAGCTTCAGAGAATTCCACGTCTGCTTTCCAGTACAAGTGTAAGGAGTAAACGATCAATAGCGCACTAAGTGCCAAAATTCCGATCTTGTATCGAACACTCGGATGCATGATGCCGAATGGTGAAGATTGTCGCTGGAAAGAAGCGCTCACGTAGAGGTGGGTCCGGATTCACCGGCAAGATAGGAAACTGGCCAGAACAAGAGACAGGGTTGACTACCAAAAGCACCTGGGCGTGTCTGCCCTACAGATTCGGTCGAGTGAAAAAGGAATCCAATCATTGCCTACTTGGTAACGGCTGGTTAGCCGCGGACGATCGGTCATTCAGGTGCCACAGGGTTAGCAACGGAGTGTAGCCGCGTCAGCGCCGGTTCTTGACGCGGATATGACACAGTCCGTGCCAAGGTCGATGGAGAGATGTTTCAGCCATGGGTCCCTTCCGCTTAGTGTCTTTAGGTGGGGAATTGAACCGATACCCTAAGTTAAAATATCCATCACTCCCGCAGCTAGTAACAAGTAGCGACGTACAGAGTAGCTTTTTGCTACTTTACAGTGCCGAGTAAGTCAACCGTCGGGGAGTTATATACAAATTACAGAGAACATCTCTGTAGGTAGACAGAAAAGCGGACGGGACAACGCTCCTCGTGGTGTATTTCATTTTAATCAAGAGCACGTCTAGTCGCAAAGCTGACACGCGGCTGGGCTCAAGTGGTCAGAACATGGTTAGATAGTTTCTTATCAGATAGAAACAGTCTAGCAAGCCATCCACAGTCCAGAAATCAAAATATCTTCGACTGGTCGACGGTAGTCGAGGCTTGGCACCCGACTCGGTATTTCCGAAGCTGGTCTCGGACACGATTATCTAATCCAGTCCGATTGGTTGGCGCCTTCGAACGATCATCCTTGATTGTTTTTTGAACGCTGTCATGCTGTACTGTATAGTATCCCTGTATTATGTTACCCAAGCGCGTATATCTTCCACATGTAGATTATACAGGTGCAATCTTGGACTGTCTGACCATTGAAGAGTCATATCGTAACATAGCACAATTCTTGTCAACTGATCTAGCTATTTTTGTGTGCATTCCTTGTTTTCCTTCTCACAAGATAGCCAAAAGATATTAACTGCGAGGAATAGTCAGGCATAGTGTGTTGGCTACTAAGCAACCCTTATAATCACTCCGATGCCACAGTCATGTACTTTAGAGTATGTATGCTAAGGCTAGAAACTGGCTTTTATCTCTAAAACTCGAGAGTTGTTTGGAACCATAGTGTGACGACATGAAAGTTGATACTAATCAAGAGATATTTTTTACTTTTCAACCAATTTCCGGAATTGTATCCTGGGGTGCGATATTCCTGTTGACATTACTGTAATGTAATCTACTCCTCCATTGCTTCTACATTCACCGGACGATCTCCTTACTGTAGGTGGTACAGTGACTTATATAACAGTTCAATTGACTTCAGTACTGGAATGGCTGAATGCATGAGATTCCTACCTGGTAGGATGGTATAATTAAGAAGACAGATAAGGCAATACTTGGCCAGTTTCAGATATTTCACACCCCATTGTATCCTAATTATATCAACCCAACTAATAACTTTATTCTCATTAGTATGCCTATTCCTAGTCTTGACTTTGGACCAGAATATCAGCTGGAGGAAGGGCGTTTCCGTCTTGGTCAAATGATGATTCCCAATTATTTTCTAGTTCCTGCTTGAAATCGTCTTCACTAAGGCTGGCTGATGTTTTCACACTAGACAGAATAATATGGTTAATCAAGGGCTTGATTTCCTGTATCATCAATTGATAGTTAGAGTATAACGTACATCACAATAAATATCCAAGGCAAATCCTGTGGACTTCGGTCATGTTTAGCACTCTCTAACTTGATATCATAGTGAGATAGTGCAGTCTGGATAGCATCGATGACAGGACTTTCACTGTGCTTGAAGAACTGGTTAGATATATACTGTCTCTAAAATCTGTAATTGCTTGCTTGAGAAATTCTCACGTGTCTCCTGGCTGGCCGAGAATTTTGTATTCAGGGTCCTCGGGGGTTTGGACCATCACCATCTAGAGAAACAGATAGTCAGACCGATAAGGTACTTTCATTATTGGCTATTATAATAGAGATCATACAAAACTGGTCTAATGTATAGTTAGCGAAAATTTCAACAATCATCATATATATCTGGGTTGTACTGACAGGCATTTTGGTGTTTGTCTAGAATTGCTAGAATAACAGAAAAGAAGTAACGGATGCAAGAGAAGGAGAAGAAGAATTTGCTGCTATCAAGGAAGGTTGTAATTAGTCTTTATCCATCCAAGAAAAGAGCCATTACGAGAGCAGAAGCGCATTTTAGCTCCCCCACTGTTATACTGCGCAATATCATGTTCAGCTGATCAATGTTAGTAGTCTAGGCTGATTCGACGGGCACGAAGATCTACCTTTAGCTCCCATCGTGTTTAGTTGATCCATCATATCAGTAGCCTATAGCCATTCAGGATCGGTGGGGAGAATCCACATTCATCTCTGTTCCGCTCTGTTAGCTCCAGTCGCTCCGGGCTATCTTCACACACTAAAGACAGTTCGGAATTGGACTCGACTGTTGTCCGTTGGGGTCTGTGATGACTGCCAGGGAGGACATTGATATTAATTAGCAGACACGTTGCTCCACTTCTGGGGTGCCACGGATCCTTTTGTTTTTTCAAAGAGCACTACCTTCTCTACATAGAGCTATTCACGAACATCATCACGTACGCCATCGAGAGTCTCCAACATAGCTCCTCCCTCGGCATATTTGAGAAGTCTCTACCGGTGTGGATACATAGTTTGAGCTTCTTGCCAAGACAAAATAGATTTCCCACATCAGAAGCTGTTTTTGTATAGGGTCACAGTCAACACCAGCACTGTCAAAGCGTTTTGTTAGATGATAGGTCAACTTGTCCGCGTTCGTTCACAGATGCTCTGACTATAGTATCATGGGATCTCGCCCGTTGCTTACGGCAGATTTTTCGATAAATATCATTTTCAGCCTTTTGCTTTATGTTCTCCCACTGTAAATCGGGTGCTTTAACCAGATCTTGGTCGGTGTCTATTGACACAGTTCGATTGTTTAGAGTTACCCTCCACTGAATTCTATAATAAAAACCGAATGTTTCTTGAGATTATATTGTACTTCTTTGTTCGTCTTGGAAAAGTCCTCGTTGACTAGTCTGGGATTAATACAAGGGGATGTAAAACGCATCAAGGATATATTCGAGAGATACACAATAGAGTTTATATCCAAGAATCAGGGGGTCTAACAAGACCTGAGTCTAAATATTATTCTCTCATAGCACTACACACCACTAAGAAGCCATATATTAGCCTACACCACATAGGCGTCCCACTAGAAGCAGTTTACTACTGATACACACACAATACATCATTTCTATCACTTTACAGTTCAATACAATACAATCAGAATTTGTGGAATGTCATCCGTTGGTACAGGTATTGTCCTTGTGTATGTACACTAGTGCCTCTTGGCATTAGGGCTCGAAAAACAACAAAAGGGTATAGAGGGATGAGCAACTGTAGTATGAGACTTCATGACTTGTCTGAGCCAGGTGTCATTTTTGCATGCTGAAGGCGTTTCACGAAGCCCGTCCCATAGTCTCTCATTTCATGTTCAAGTAACAGGTGTTCATGCTGACTTCTGTATTTCCGAGAGGTGCTACGTGCATGCGAAATATATATTGATCTTGGTAGGCTGGCCACTTTGTGCTCGACAGAGCGCATCAAGTATCAGCAATATCCAATGTTGGTAATTACAAGAGAGACACAACGTACGATAATCAACAAAGCATGCGTATGGGGTCCGACAATAGGTTCGATTTGGGTTTTCTAATTTCGGTTAACCAACCGCAGTTACAATGTCTAGATATGAGCCCAATTTATGAAGGAAGTCGGCCAGCTAAATATATAACCCGGTAGATTGGGTAAAGATAGATGCACCGGGTTTGAACTACACTTTCTTCGTAGCTCTAGTCAATGCTTGAGATCGGCTTGATACTCGCCACAATGCGTTTAGGAAATTTAATGTCCGCTGATAGTGTTCTTGCTACTCGAGAGAGAATGTGGGTATGGTACATTCCAATGCTCAATAACTCCCGTATAACCGTCAACCAAGTCCAATCAGGCCCTGTAGATAACCCATCGTAATGAACCAGCAACACTGAAGAATAAGATCTGAAACTGCATGGAATCAAGAAGGATCGACATCGGAACCAAGCCAGCGACCTTCCGCTTAGTAACGACAGCTCGCCTTCCTAGTGCGGGCCGTAGTAGGGTGCCATAATCCTTACCCTTCTCGATGCCAGGTGAGGTAGCTCCACTTCCCCACAACAGGCTTGTACTGTGGGGGAAGACTTGTGTGTATATGTACAGACGAGGAGAGAAATTATTGCGGGCAGGATGGTTGTAGGACCCGAATTAATGCCATTACAGGATATTCAACGCCTGGAAACGACATAGATACATAAAGAATGTACGGAAGAAGAGATGATGTTTATATACCATATGTCTTTTTGTAGAAATGGTCCTGAGACGTTGGAGCGCTAGATCATGCAAGCCGCTGCACGGTCACCGTTTCTGCATTTGCGATACCTGCGTTCTCCACATCATCGGAAGGTCTCTTGTCTCTCCGGGAATTGCTGAGCATGGACGTGCATTTTTCCCACCTATAAAATCCCCCGTTGCGCCCCTGGGACACGGATATTGTTCAGGATCAAACCAGTTATCATCTCCTAACGGGCATTGATATCTCTTTTGGTAACCTATTTGACATATAGCCTACTTCTTCAACACTCTCACTGAAAATATAGACAAATACTCAACATGCTAGGTAAGATCTTGGACACAGTCCAAGGGAATCCTGTGCGGGGTGTTTGTGGTCTGCTGGTGGGATCTCTTCTCATATTCTGGGTTGTACCTTTTCTATACAACTGCTTCTTCTCCCCGTTGAAAAACGTACCGGGCCCTTTCTGGGCCCGCTTCACCATTCTCTGGGAATTTTGTCAGTTGATGAAAGGCCGCTCGCATGAGGAATATATAAGTCTGCATAGGAAATACGGTCAGTACTGGCGAGATATCTTCAAAGGAATACCTGAATGGTGATGTTAAGAATAAGCAATAGGCCCGGTGGTCCGTGTCAGCCCCAATAGGTACAGTGTCATCGACCCACAGGATGTGAAGAAGATATACGGCTTCGGTGCGGACTTCCCGAAGTCCGAATTCTATGACTCCTTGGGCGACCCAAAGAACATCTTCACCGTGCGGGACAACGAGGACCACAAAGACCGACGAAGGAAAGTTGCATCCCTGTACACGATGTCGGCCATGGTAGCCTACGAAGACGCAGTCGATCGGATGACAACTCTCTGTATCAAAAAGATGAGCGAGCTTGCCGCGAATCGAAAGCTAGTCTCTATACCCAAGTTCATGCAATTCTATGCGTTCGATGTCATTGGAGAGATTACAGTAAGTGGGATATAATCCATTGCACCGTGCTTCTGTTTCCTCGTAGGCAGTTTCCAAGGCTAATGGATTGAATTCAGTTTGACCAAAACTTCGGAATGATGGAGAACATGGGCGACACTCAAGGCATTATCAAAGAGCTGCATACAATGAACAACACGATTGGTATCATGGGTTTATTACCCGAATTACAGAGTACATTCCGAGCAGCACAAAGAGTCTTCTTGCGGGGTACATCTACCGGGAAACTGACTGAATATATCTGGAGCCAGTACTGGAAGCACCGCAACACCAACAGCGGCGCCAAGCAGAAGTCCCAATACGACACCTTTCTGCGAAAGGTACTTGAATTGGAGGCTGCTCACAAAGTTGGAGTCGATAATGTCTTGGACTCCTGCGGATCGAATATCGGCGCGGGTTCGGACACGACTGGCCTCACTCTCGGCGCCGCTTTGTGGTATATCTACCGCAATCCTGACAAGCTGGCTAAGCTGCGCCAAGAGATTGATACCATGACTGCAGAAGGTCGCATTTCAGATCCAGTGACATACAAGCAAGCCCAGGAGATGCCGTACCTCAACGCTGTCATCAAGGAAACCCTACGAGTGCATCCTGGTGTCGGCACGATATTGGCAAGAGTTGTACCGAAAGGAGGCATGACTCTTACTGGAGGGTACTATGTACCCGAAGGAGTAAGGATTCCTATACCCCCATTGGAATCCTGCTTTCAGGTACGCTAACTCTGATCACTATATTAGACACACATCGGCACGAATGCATGGCCCTTACACTACAGCGAAAAGGTCTATGGCCCTGACGCCGATCAATACCGACCCGAACGCTGGTTGGAGCACAAGCCGCAGCCTGATTACCGAGATTCGATGATGTTTGCGGTAAGTCAAACGCCAAATAATATTATTGTTTAGACATCGTTTGGCCGGGATTGTTGAAACTAACATCAACGTTTCGCTCTCGTAGTTCGGCAGCGGGTCTCGGACCTGTATTGGCCGCAATATTAGCCTCTTGGAGATTACCAAGGTCTTGCCCCAGATTGTTCGCAAATTTGATTTGAAGTTCGAGCAGAAGAAGGATCCATGGGATGCGTGGTGTGCTTGGTTCGTGTACCCGAAGTACAAGTGTTGGATTGAACCACGGAAGCCTGTGGAAAACGAGGCTTAGGCCTTGGTCATAGCGGTTGGGCCGCAAAAACGTAGGGTTGTGGGTGCTTTTTATATAGCGATTGATCTACCCCCTCACCTCGTTACTATTATCTTTTGTCTACTGCTTCTGTTTATTTCGCATCATGGAATCAATCCAAGCTCATCTTACATGCTTCTTGAAATATAGGAGGTTTCCTTCTTTCTCCTCAGTTATCCTCATAGCAACCTCATCTTCAGGGTCACATTGATGACTACATGTCTACAGAGGCGAGACGAACAATTCTCTGATATCGCTGAAATATGTGTAAATTTAAAAACCAAGTCCGAGCAGCGCTGGGTTAACGTTTGATGGGAAAATATATCTAGGAACTACAAGGGAATATTATTTACGTCAGTGGTTGCATAAAATGGCGTATCATGAAGAGGGTAAGCAACTATAAAAAAATAATAAAAATAAAAATAAAGAAAGCAATTATAAAAGGGCCAACCGCTGACTACCACCATTAAGTGATGTGGACATCTAACAACCGCCATTAAAACTTCGTGACTCCATGTGACCCATACCACCCCCTGATTCATTTGGGTGATTATCCTCTACCAAGTTAGCACGCTATTCAAGTGTCATCCTGATTTCCCTTTTGGCATACCACCAAGATTCAAGCAAGAAGTTATAGCTCGGCCTGGTGCATCCTAACAGTAACCCGATCAGCCGGACAGCTGGTGAGAGTGACACCATAGCGGATCTGCCGATTAGGGTAGACATCTTCAATGGAATCAAACCGCTGCAGTAACCGCACCAACACATAGCTGGTATTAATAAGGGCAAACTGCTGCCCGATGCAGGTTCTCGGTCCGCCGCTGAACGGGATGTGCTCCCAGATGACCTTACGACCGAACCACCGGTCGGGATTGAACTCCTCGGCATCTTCACCCCAAATATCCTTCCGGCGTTGTAGGACATAACTGCTATAAAGGACGGGTTGACCCTTTTGGAGGTACACTGGCGACTTGCCGTCCTTGCCGCCCCCCGTAGGTAATGTGGTGTCTTTGTTGGCACACCGGCGGTTGAAGGGTACGACTGGATGGAGACGCAAGGTCTCGTTTATGAAGTGTTGCAGATACTGACAGGACTTTAGCGAGGAAAAGTTGATATCGCGCGGCTCGCTGTAGGTGCCGAAGTGTTCGATGATTTCTTTACGGAGTCTCTGGAAAATGTGTGGGTGACGGGCGAGAAGAAGGATAGTCCAGCTCAGCAGTGAGGCAGTGGTATCACGACCGGCTAACAGGACATTGATACACTCGTCCCGTAGCTCGACGGGGTCTGTCGTTGTCGCGGTGAGCGCATCCAGAAAGACGTAATGTGATCGGCCTTCTAGGTCTGCGGGCTTTTCTGTTTGTTGCGCCCTCTGTAAGGCTGAATGAACATATCCGTCGACGAGGTCATGCACCACGCGGATGCAGTTCCGAAACTCCTTGTTGTTAACGACCCAATACAGGCGCTCGAAGCGGAGTCTAGCAGCTAGGTACCATGCGCACCGATCAAAGCTGTTGAGAAAGCTATCTGACATCTCTCCAACATCTTCTTCCAGGGCAGCTACCTGGGTGTCGCAGCTTTTGCCGAAAAGGAATTCCGTGGCCGAGTCGAGAGTCAGACGGAAGAAAATGGTCTGGATGTCAACGTCAGATGTCCACCCATTTGATTGTGTCGGTATCGCTCTCAACGCATTCTGAATATGGCGCTCTTCCATCTCGAGATTATTGATCTGCGTGCGTGTAAACTGGGGCCGTAGTAGTGATCTTGAATGAGACCAATCCGCACCGTCCGAGATAAACTAGATCCAAACGAAGTCCGGATCAGTAACTTGGAGAGAAAGGAGAAAAGTAGCCAGGAACACTCACTATTCCACGACCCATCACAGGCGCTCCTGCGTTGCGGCGCATATCGCCCAGACCAAAGTCATTGAATTGAGTCGCCAACATGGCTTGGATGTTCTTGGGATCGACGGTGAAGAAGTTTTCTCGACCCGCCTGACGCACACGAAAGGTGGAAACATATCTATTGTGCAGACTGGAAAGTAGATCAACCCGTTTCTGTGATAGCTCGGGGAGAAGCTTGTCTCGATCCGCTTGTAATGCTTCGAGGAGGGTGGAGATGCCGAAGGGATCCCGAGTCGGATACAATGGGGCCTGTTGGCAGTTTAAGCTGCGAGCCCTGTGTGCATGTCGCCATGACGAGTAGAAGGAGAATAACAGACGGGCCGCAATTATGGCGGCCACGAGAGCGGGAATGAACCATGTTTCCATTAGGGTTGTACGACATTCGGCCATGGTTCCGACCCGACACATGTAGGGTTTGATTTCAGAGAATGATCTGCAAGACTTGAATCAATAGCCTGATCGCCTACCCGAGATAAACTTATATATTATATACATATTTGCACACCAGGCTATAATAAGAAGTCCCTCGTGAGTCTTCTGTGATGTTCAAGAACATCCGATGATACCCAGTAGCTCATGGAGCGCCTGAAAACTTTACCTCAGCCATTCATGGAAAACTGAGACAGGACCAGGTTTACACAAATAGCCAGTTGTGGCATTAAATCACGGGCGGCAGTAGCAGTAGGAGAGTGAGGTACAGTTGTTTAGGTTGATTCCACTACGACCATTTAACAACTAAGCCTGCGAGGTACTTTGCCCACGGCCGCATGCGGACCGGAGAATTATGATCATACGGTTATAACAATAGCATTGCGTAGCAGGGTACCCTGATTGGCCTTAATTGATAGGGATCTACATAAGCGCTACATTATACTTACTCTGGCGGTGTATAGCCGTTGCTAGATCCTGCTTGGCATCTCTGGGAGTCATCTCGGCATTTTGGCAGTGCATCCTCAAGGAAAGGGTTCCTAAGGCGCCAAGTTTCACCTAGCCTGTCGCGTGGGTTTATGAAAGGACACAAATGCTAACATATGTTGACTCTGGTCTGCCCTGATTTCTGATTCGTGGGGTCAAAACCTGCGAAGTGCGGTCAGATACTGATGCCACATTGCTTGCCCAAGGATGGCAGCCAATGATATGAACCGCGAGTGCCGGTGTGTGTTTATAAATGATAAATGAACTGTATAGTTAGTTGATAATGTTTTACTACCGCCTATTGAGCATGGCCTGAGCACAAGTGTCAACTCGTGGAACCAGTCGTCTCCATGATAAAATCATGTGGGACTAGGGATAGGGCTTAGACCGATAAACTTCCCCACTATCCGTGTTGAAGGCTAACGATAGGCTCGCAATAAGATGGCCAACATAACTGACTACCTTATCTGTGGTTGGATAGCATGTAGCTGACTCATGTGTACATGGCTATTTTTAACGCAGCAGACCGCATGCTACATGCCAACAGCTGGCCAGTGTATATGGAGTACGGTAAATGGACAAGGCAGACCAATCTGATTAACAACCAGGGCAAAGCCACCTTGTGTCCGGCCTGATCGACAGGTGGAGCTGGCACGCGGGGTCAAATCTCAGTGGAATGTGCGACAGAATATAGTTTATGTCTCATGAATGCCAACTGTTGACAGTGAGATTTGCTGATCGGCCCCCAAAGTAGGACATGAAGTCGTTTAGGTGTGTTAAGGTCAACGAACTCACCTGTAGTGGGGTCCGCCTGATAAGATAAAGTGTGGCATCACGGCGATTGCTATTGGCAGGTGTGTAAGAATGTTTGTAGATGCTGTCAGCGACCGATTATCTCCGCGTGGATCCTTCGAATTGCCGCTGTGGAAGTATCCGAGTGAGGTGGAGCTGCAAGTCCTGCAGGGGGCCTAACAATATCCATCCCTTACCGCATCGATTCACAATTTCCTCGCAAGCACGTATATCTCTATTGAAATACGCTCACTTGCCATGCGCAACACGGTGCTTTACCGTCCCCGTTCCTGTTTCCCATGCTGATGTTAACCATTCGAAAGTCATCATGACGGATAAATCTTCCAGCACCCTCTCTCCGCAGTCATCCAGGAAGGAGGCAGCCCTCCAGAAGACAGCTCCAGACACTCCCCGGCCTCGGGATCAGATCCCTGATTGGAAATGGAAAGGGAGTCTCGGCGTTGTCATGCTAACAACGGTAATCAATGGTTAGTTGGGCATGCTCTCGAATCAACTCCCAGTTTTGCTGAGTACGGTATTCTAGGATACGATGTGAGTAACGTGGCCAACATCCAGCCGCGACTGTACGAGGCATTCGGTAACATTGAGCTTCTCCCGTGGATCGGCCTTTCTTTCAGCTTAGCCGTCTTTGCCTTATTATCCTTTTCTCGGAAGATCCTGTACTGTTTCGACATGCAATGGATCTATATTGTCAGTATTGTTGTCTTCATGGCCGGGGCTGCGGTGGCAGGAGCGGCCCATAATCTATCCTCGGTCATTGTGGGTCGGACAATCATGGGTGTGGGTGGTTCTGTGATCTATCAATCGTGAGCTATCCTTGATCTCCGCTGCAGAGTCATATGCCCTAACCAGATTAGCAATCTGACTTTCGTCGCCGTGTTCGCCACTCCAGCCGAGACACCCCGTCTTTTTGGACTGCTGGGTGCATTATGGGCCGTAGGTCTCGTCATCGGCGGCCCCATCGGGTCAGCCCTGGCCACCAACAGCAGCACGACCTGGCGATGGGCTTTTTACATGAACCTGCCATGGGCTGGCCTTGGCCTCATTATAACCTTTATCTGTATGCCTAGCAAATACCTCGGACCCGACATTCCCGTATGGTCTCGCCTTGCGCGAATCGACCCTATTGGCATCAGCATGAACATGGCCGCGCCGGTTCTGTTTGCCCTGGCCTTGGAATTCTCCGGTCCTGTCTGGGCCTGGGGATCTGCTGCATCTATCGCCGTGTGGGTAGTCTTCGGCGTGGTGATGATCGGGTGGATCGTCCAACAGTATTGTTGCATCGGCACAACTCCCGACCAACGTGCCATTCCGGTGCACCTGCTCAGTCGCCTTGATTTACTTCCCCTGTGGATCGCGTCCGGATGCGCAGGGGCATCGTACGCCGTGACACTGTACTACACTCCGCTCTTCTTCGCCTTCGCCCGCGGCCACAGTGCTTTACAACAAACCGTCCGTCTTCTCCCATTCGTCCTAGTCTTCATCGCAGTAGTTATGCTCGTTGGGGCGCTCCTGCCGGTCTTCGGTCGCTACAATATAATCTACATCATCGCGGGGACAGTGACCATCGCCGGAGGCGCAGCGATGGCCGCAACACTCAGCCCCAATGTTCCAGAATCACAGGTGCTAGGTCTAGAAGCCCTCATCGGAGTCGGACTGGGATGTTCATACCAACATGGTGTCGGCGTCTCCAATGTCATCAACAAAGACCTGCGCGATAAGGTAGACAGTGTCGTCCTGTTCAACCTGTCGCAGATGGGCGGGATTACTATCATTCTTTCTGTAGCGGGCTCGATCTTCCAGAATGTGGGATTCAATCTATTGACAGATGCTGTTGGGAGTAATGGGTACTCCGAGGAGGATCTGCGAGAGGCGTTGGCTGGTGTGTCTTCTGCGGTGTGGGAATCTGAAGATCCGGCGGTGCTTGCGCGTGGGGTTGAGGCTGTTGCGGATGTGCTTGCTAGGGAGTTCTATTTGGTTGTTGCTGGTGGGGCACTTTGTTTGGCATGCGGGTTGGCGATGAGGTGGGAGAAGTTGGATTATGGGAAGGGGAAGGGGAAGGGAACGGGATCTGATGCTTGATATTAGGGCTTGTACCGGATGTACTCTGTCAGGGAAATTTGGGTTCGGTCTACATATATGTTAATGGTTAATAAGTGTCTACTAACTCGGTTGCCAGGCTATATATAGTCTTTGGCAAATATAATGTCATAATCCTCATTGCGAAACCAGTTTGATTCCGGCTTGTGGGGATAATATCGCAGAAATAGCACTTATCAATGACCATGACTACGGTGTACCGGCCGACCTGTAGCTCCGAATCCGCCGGGCGATGGTCCAAGTACAACACCCGACCGTGGCGCAACATCTCCACCGTCATCTTCGACAGAAAGAAGAAAGACGAGTTGCTCAACGATATCAATGAGTACTTGCATCTTCGCACGCGCCGCTGGTATTCAGACCATGGCATTCCCTACCGACGAGGATATCTGTGCTTCGGCTGGGGACGGGATTCGGGACGGGATTCAATTCCGATTCCCCGATTCACTCGGATTGTTATATGCCTTTCAAGATGGCCACCGACTAGTGATCGGGAGAGCCTTTTAACTTATTACTATATACATATAACGGTGCGCTGCCCATGATTATCTTCTCACTGAGAGGAATAGTACTGATGTGTAGGTTGCAGAGGGGAGAAAATTTTCTACGTGAGGAATGTCTTATGGAGGTCATATGGAGGTCATATCGTCACAATGTAGAGTAAGTATATAGATATTGAGGTAATTTGCATTTGGAATCTTCCATAGATAGTCAATGATCAACCAGACAATGTACATAGCACAGTCAGTCAGTATAAAACAGATGGGAAATATCCAGCTGATTTCAACATGGTATAAGGTTGCCTGTTGTTAATGCTAGAATTCTCCTTACCTAGCCATCCCTGTTATTTCATATCAAGGCCGTTCCCTCTTGCACCGTTAATAGCACAAACAGATAACTAGATCCAGATAGTTGGCTTCATAAAATTTACTTGACTCTGTGCTCGGATTTCGGACTTGAAACCCGACTCGGAAGTGCTGGAATGCTAAGCGCCGAGACCCTTGCATAAATATCTGGAATTCCTCGCAACACATTCTCTTTCTTCAGAAATTCCTTTTTGCTGAAAGTACTAACACGTAGTATCACTCAGAACGTCATGGCCTTTCTGTATCAAATGCTAGGGAGCAAAGTGTGGCCGCCGCGCGATACGAAACCCGATCTGACTGGACGGACTCTACTCATTACTGGCGCGGTATGCCTCGTTACAGAGCTAACTACCGCCAATACCGAACTAACAAATGGTTTCTATCTAGAACTCCGGTCTGGGGTATGAATCAGTGATCAAATTCGTTCGTGGTTCTGCCAAAAGAATCATCATCGGCGTACGGTCGGTCGAGAAGGGCGAGGAGGCCAAAAGGGCGATCCTAGCCCAAACACACCCGAATAATGTCACCATCGACGTTTGGCATCTAAATATGTTGGACTACACTACGATTGAGGCATTTGCGTCGCGCATAAATCGCGAGGTGGACCGCCTAGACTACGTTGTGCTCAATGCCGGCATTAGCCCTCGTGCGTACAAAAAATCAGCCTACGGATTCGAATCGGGTCTCCAGGTTAATCTACTCTCGACGACACTCTTAGCATTACTTCTGCTGCCTAAGATATTGGCGAGCAAGATCGACGACTTCACCCCGGTGATTGAATTAGTGGGGTCTGGCACACATCAGCGGATGCCGGAGCTGCTGCCGGACACTGATAACCCGGAGAAAGATATCCTGGATGTCTACAACTCAGAAGCCTCATTCAAGACGTTCGGGTTTATTCAACAGTACTCATTGACAAAGCTCTTCCTCATGTATGTGCAGTGGCACCTTGTGAAGCTGGCGAACGATCAAGCTGGATCACCTCGAGTATACGTCGTTGTTGTTGGCCCAGGCCCAACTCAGTCGGCACTGGCAAGAGACTTTCAAGATCAATCCTTCGGAGTCCGCGTCGCTGTCAACACTATGAATTTGATGATGAAAACAGCTGAACAGGGCGCAAGAACATATCTCAGTGGCCTTATGCTTGGCGAAGAGGGCCACGGGCAGTTTTGGCAATGGGACTCAATCAATAGGTCTGTTTATATACAAGGCATGGACTGGAAGACACTAGACCGCTAATAATGTGAACAACAGGCCTGCGAAGTGGTGTTCGGACCCCAATGCTGTGGTGCGATCGGAGCGAGTCTGGGCTAGCGTGCTTGCTGCCCTTGAGAAGGAATTTCCTGGAACTCGAAAGCTTGTGGAAGGACTACAAGATGGACTCTCCGCTCATTGAAAGACCCTGTTCCTACGGTGCTGGGAAGACAGCTGTCACGCTGGTTTAATATTTGGGTGCAGACTGAGTTTGACTGATTGTGAATATAATATATCATTACAGCATTCCCACGCGAACTGGACTACTTCTCATGGATCATGGTGTGTGAATTATTGTATCGACCTTTGGAAATAACGATGTACCGCACTCTCGCTGATGAGATCCATATTTACCAACTCAGCTTCTAGAAAATATTGTAAAGGTGTCTCCTACAAGTAAACTCTTTGGACTAGACTTTTCACTTAAGTATTTTCCTGAATTATTACCCTGCTCTCGTTTCAGCATGTTATTTCGGCCACCCATATTATTTGGGAACTACTTAATATGCTCTGAATTACTTCCGACCAGACATACAACACCGCCCAAAAATACGGATACGCTAAGACCCAATTTACGCAAGGATTTGATTCGTAAATTCGGCCACTTTATCAACAAGCTCCTCCGTCCATGCCAAATGAGGCGAGTGTCCGGATGGCGCGTGATAAATTGTAAACCGGTTGCCCGCCAGTGTCTGAAGCGCGATCATGCCTTCCTGATACTCCTTGGGCAGAGTCAAGTCATGCTCCAGCACCAGGTATGCACATGGCAGGGCAGAGTAGGCATCGTTCGTAAGCCTGTCAGTATTGACGGGGGACGCAGTGAGAGTAGCTGTCCATTTTTCCGCGGACTCAGCATCCAGACCATTGAAGAAAAAGCGAGGGGCATCGACCGGGGTTCCAAGGCCCTTGACGCCGTGTTTCTGGTTTTGTTTAGCTTCTGATCTACCTTCTATCATCAACTGACACATACGTGGAATTTCATAAACGGTGGAGTGAAAACCGTGCCGTCTTTCGGCTGGAAAAAACTATGAATGGACTCGCCGACGGGCACAACGAAAGCACCCATGTAGAAGATACCAATCAGGCCCCCTTTCTTGCCCTCGCTCTCCCGAGACGTGGCTTGCAGTTCTGGGACGGCTGCCTGGGTCGCAACCCAGCCACCGGAGGAATGTGCCACTAACAGGACGAGTTTCCCCTCCTGGTTCACTAGCTTGTCTAGCAGTTCGACAACGACATTGACATCGTCGGTATCGGTAGGGTAGCCCTCTGCTGGAGGCTCCAGGTCGAAGTCCGGATGGTTTACATCCCCCACGTTGAGCTTGCTGAGATCGCACGTTGGCCGGAAAGGGCAGTAGGTTTCGAATCCTTTGGCTCGGAGCTGCTCCATGAAGGGCTCATACGGGGCGGGGCTGTGATAAGAGCCATGGCAGATGACAATAGCGGGCTTCATCTTAATGTTTATGAGAAATATCAATCCTGGAAGGTTATGGCTTGGCGGGGATGAGTATAGCTGTAAAGTTCGATAAACTCGTAGCGGATGAACGGAGCACGTTGAGGTATTTATATTTGCAACAGGAACCGCAGGTATTCGTGGGGGCCGAGAAAGTTCGCTTGGGAACTGCGGATTTGCAGGGATGAAGTAGACATCTTTGTTTGATTAACGCATAGCCCCTGAGTGTCAAAGGTTTAGCTGATCCAGCCTTGCCCTAAGTTGGATATGAACAGGAATAGGCCACAGTATCATAGGCCATTGCGCCGCGATACAGGGGTTCACATAATTATACCCGGTTCGGTTGATGCACTAAGTCAGATAGCGCATCTCCACCTCCAATCAACCGTTCATAAAGGTCCAGGTTGTTTACCCACTGGTTGTCCTTTGTTGAGGCTACTGGTAAAGTCTTGGGTTGTGTTGGTCTCCAGTCCCCGAATGGCCCAGACCCCTGCCTTGGAGGGAACATCCTATCCCATCAACGATAGTATAGACTTATGGGCGAGGCCTTCCGTTACATCTTGATCGGCTTCTGCTTCTTACTGGGAGGGGTAATAATAAACATTCGGCTGCTACTTTGAGGTTCGTCACTAATTTATTGGCAATATTCAACGCCTAGAAACATATTCAGGAGGAAACACCCACGGCGTTGTCTCGACATTCAACGTAATTTCGTGGAATGGAGGGCTGAAATGAGCTACATGAATAGAAAAACGAAAGGAGAAATACAGTATAGTCAGAAATTCAGGCACAACAATCAGAACGAAGATGAATGGGGGAGAAAAAAACGGAGGGTGATCTGTCATAGAGCAAACTGACAGCTAGATAGCTCTTAGCTCAATGAGCGTAGAGTTTCTGGTGTCCATATCGCTCATCCCTGTCATTCATTACGCAAGGACGCCAGGAACCTCTACTTTATAGTCTGTATTTCTGCCGGAATCCGTCGCCGACCGCATATCGCTTGAGAGGCCCCATAGAGGTAGTCAAGACCACAGTAGGCACGTTGCCAGTTGAGTGCATCGAGGTCCGGCAGCTCGTCCTGTTCCAACATAACCTCCTTCCTGAATCTTGTACGCCAATAGAAATAGGGGACTTTAGGAACCCAAAAGGGGAACACCAGCATCAAGTGTAGGATCTCCTGAGATCCGAGTAGGTAGTCCATGATCTGGAGAATAAGTTCCGACGGAAGGGAACGGAGATCGCAAGTCCATTCCCTGTGTAAAGAATGATTGCATAAACACCCTGCTAAGTGGCATACCGAAGGTTACGTATAACTGATCAACGCCATGATTTGAACGTTGTTTGTGCCTCGCGACGGGATATGTCTCTCGTTCTTGCGCAAGAAACTCTCGAATCTCAAGAAGGCTCAAAGGATCCGCTGGGGGAATAAAATTCGCCCTACGACCTGCAGTCGGTGATGCCCATGGCAGAGCATTGATGAACTCCTTCAGATGAGTCTTGATGACGTTGACATCCAGAAGACGCGTCGTCAATACCCAAAACCCTTCATGCATAGCATATCCAGAGGCTCCTGTTTTACGACGCATCCTGTGCGGGATTTCCAATGGGTACGCCTCTGTGAGCTTTATACCCATGTTCTCCTCCAATGGGGTGCAGAAATAAAACTGGTCGCTATCCTCCGGTGCCTGGATTAGGCAGTCGTGCCCATCAACAACCATGCTAACCCCAGTGAGACAGAACGTTTTCGTCGATGTCTCATAGATAACTACTTCAGGTCAGCTGTGATGAATGATATAGCAGGTGGCAGCCAAACACACCCGCCCGATAAAGCCAAGCCCACATCCAAGGCTTACGGAATTCCGCATTCTGCAAATCAGAGGTTTCGCCGCTCAGATAGCCTTGGTTCTCGAGACATGCTCTCCACTTAGTGGATACTTTAAATATGCTATCTTCACTTGTCATACAATCTCTTCCCCCGGGCTTTTGGCCAATCCATTCTCTGCATATCGCGCAGAGTCCAAGGTCGCAGCCTGGGATGGGTCGTAGTGACCCGAATGGAGCCATTTGTTGCAGTTTGTAATTGTGTGGATGAGGCTGATAGTCGGTCGACTGAGAAGGATATTGTCCGATGTGGCGCAGGCAGAGCCTGTTGAGTGAGATCACTAGCAGTCCAATCATCATACCATAAGAATGACGGAACTATGTGACAGTGTAGGTTTCGCGGCGAGCCCTTGTCAAAGTCTGCCGCGTCTTGAGGCTCGCGCCGCCTCGGTTCCCTGGTAGGTCTTCCACTTGCGGCTCCTTGTAAAATTACTCTTCCCACTTAACTTCTAGTTCCTCATCGATTGAAAGTTAGCGGAGTCATTTCCCTATACAGTTCCACTGATCTAACATGGCACCCTGAGGATATGCAGTCTGGAAGCTGTAGGTTCACACTATATATGCCTGGTCACAAGCCTTCCTTGATGAAATGAATATAGGTAATCCAAACAGATATACCGTGGTCTACTACAATGTCCATCACGAAAGGTTCACGTGTCAGTGATCTGTTTGTCTGGTTCTTGAGCGATTAAACTAGCTATAAACCATGTCTGTATGTGGCATTTCCTTTCAGTGTAGCGTTGAGCTGTGTAAATGTGCCCGTAATAATGTAATCAGTCCTATGCTCCTGCTGGGCAATTTGCATGACTTACACTATGCGTGACTCATAATGACTGAGGTATGTATTGCTTATTCCTCTGCTACCTGACAGAGGTTTGCATTAATTCATCTGTCGACTTCTGAACATATGGAATCTGTATTGCAAAGGAAACTAGAGGAGAATAGCGGCAAGCAGCGAAAACTGAAAAACAGCACTGACCATCACAAACAGGTCAGAGGTGCCCGCTCATATCTCTTACCACCTTCACTCGGTAGAAGACAGGAAACCAACTTCACCGGAGCCAAGCCATATACGTGTGGGTCACCCAACGCAATCACCCCTGCACACCCAAATATACCGATTCCTTTCAGGAGTGGTGAATTCTGATTTTATCACGATTCAACTTTCAGTTGCACAATGACGGGGCTTTGCTTGTGGACCCATAAGGGAGGTAAAAAAGAAGGCGAATCTTCTGAGGCATGGAGTGGGAATGCTCCTGCTAGCGAGCTTACCTTTCGGGAGAGAAGCTCCGGCAGGAAGATTATAACAGCATTCAAAGTGAAGTGATTCGACGGGCGTCATCGAGGAATTAGGTGTCCCCACCGTTGTGTTGGGTAAGGTGTTTGGCCTCAACCCCAAAGACACCACCAGCTGCATGGATACCGAAGATATCAGCAATTCCACCTCTTACTCGACGACAACCAGTACCGAGTTGTCTCGGTCCTACGAAGTTCCAGCCGGTCGAACGTACCGTAGGACCGTGGTGTACTCCAAAGGCACTTTCAAAGTTCAATTCCGTCCTCAATACACCCTAACTATACGTTTAGGAGAGACGGTGAATTGGCCTGAAGGCCCGGTCCAGGACGCCTTCGGTATTGTCTCGGAAAACTTGCATATACGGGTTTCGGATATTACCGACGATGGCCAGGAGTCTACCATTGATCCGCCTCCTTACCTTCACTGACTCCTTCCGCCTCCCATCAGGCAGTCTGAGCTCCCATTGCTACCGTGGGCATTTAAGTATCGACCATTGCTTTACTTTTCCAAATATGTAGCTCTTACGTGTCCCTCTTAGCAATGTTATTGAATTCTGCTTATGTTTATCTTCTAAAACACCACAATGATAACATCCTCCTCGCGTGCGTAAAGAGTGTGGAATATGAGAAATCATGATATCCTATCTGTAGCAGTAGACTCCCCATGTGAGACTCCGCATCTGCACCTCCAACTGTGTATGCATAGTTACAATCTGGATACCGCCGATTGAGGGGTCTATTGTGTTAGATCTGCTGTATATCTCAATCATTAATTTCCCGGTTAAGAGATGGTTGCTCTTAATGTGACATACATATGCCTGGTCACTAACCAATAGACAAGCTATTTTTCGTCAGTATCTATTCTTCCCCATGGTAAGAGGGACTTTACTATACTAACCCCTGTGTTTTACTACTTACGGTGATATCCAATGTCTAATCATTTTATACTCAATTTTGTCTAACCACAACTTGTATCCGCTCCTAATCCATGAAGGAGCACTAAACAAGCCATATCGTCTATAACGGATACTTTATCAACACCACATCCACTTCCAAAACAGGCCGAACCGACTCAGTCCTGCTTCAACCCCACCCTCCCCGCCTTCCTAAGCCCGAAGAACCCAACCAGCGTACAAACAATCATCGACCCAAACATCGCCCAAAAGCTCGCCCGATACCCATCCATCAAGGCATACCTCTCCTTGGCAGCCCCAGACTGATCCGTCACCACCGTCGAAATAACCTGCAACACGGCCAGTCCCAGAGCGCTCCCGAACTGCGCCGAGGTGTTGAATACTGCGCCAGCCAGAGCCTGCGTGTCGTCTGGAAACACATCGGTGATCACGATCAGACCGACGGTGAACAGCGCATCGAAGCTAACGGGCTGCAAGATCTGCGCGAAGAAGGCGTTCCCCCAGTAGGGCCAAGAGGGTTGGATGACGGCCATGAGGAGCGGGGAGCCGGCGCAGAGGAGCGAGGTGATGGTGACGATCCAGACGGCGCGGATTTTGTGGACGAACAGGCCGATGATGAGGTTGAGGAGGGCGCCCACTATCAGACTGGGGAGGATGCGGATGGATGCTTGCAGGGCTGAGAGGTATTGGACCTCCTGGAAGCTATGGGGTTGTTAGTGGGGAGCTGTGGTGGGGACCATGGAATTGTGGGTCGGCTTACAATAGACTGGCGAAGAGCTCCATGGAGTTGAGGACGGCGTTGGAGAGGGCCACGGTGGCGCAGACGCTGGAGAAGGACGTGTTTCTCCACAGGGCATTCGGGATTAGGGCTACTTTGTTCCGCTTGACTCGGTGGTGGGAGGAGATGATGAAGAGCGGGAGTGCGATTGCTGCCAGGCAAAGGATGACGATGCTGTCGACAGATTTGATGCGCGAGGGGTCTGCACTGACGATACTGTTGTCTGGTTAATTTTGGTTCGATGTTCTTTATGGAGGCACTACGTACGCTAGAAGGTAACAGAGTAGGGCCATGAATGCGGAGGCCAGAAAGGCACCAAGCCAGTCGATCTTCGTCCGGACATTGTGGAGGAGGCTTTCGTCTTCGGCTCTTTTGTTCTTGGGCAGGGTCCACACCGCAATAAGTGCAAAGAAGAGCGTGATTCCTCCGGCAATGTACCATCCTGCTCGCCAGCCAATTGTATCGACTAGAACGCCTCCCACGACCAGTCCGAGTGAGAAGCCGAGGGGTTGACTGAGACCGATGCACGAGAACGCAAGGTTACGGCCTCTGCCTTGGGGCAGAAGCTGGGTGATGATAGAGATCGAAGAGGCCAAATGGAAGGCCAGGCCAACACCTTGCAGGGCCCTCATTACGACTAGCCCTTCTCCATTCCGAGCTAGCCCTTGCCCAATCATCAAGGCTCCGCTGGAGAAAGATCCGACCAGTTCAACCCATCGTGGGCCAATAGTATCCGCAAGAGAGCCAGCAAGAAGAAGTGTGGACGCAGTAGCAAGACTGCTCACAGATGAGGGCCAGAAAGCTAAGGAAGATGGCAGGTCAAGGTCTTTTGTGATGGTCGGCAGTGCGATGGTCACCAGGCCGTTGATCAGGCTTGCGGTCAGAGTGACTCCGACGAGCTGAACTATGACTACGACCTGCTGCAGGCGAGTTTTCTTGATTGCTTCTCTATCCACGGACGATACTGACGATACCGAGGACGCAAAAGGTGGCGACTCAATTTGCGCCGTCATCGTTGTTGTAGTCGTCGGTGCCATTTTGATCGCAAGAATGCTTCTGGGGAAAAAGGCGGAAATGCCTCGATACCCGTCATCGTGGGCATCTGGAGTCGGAAAAATTTGGCCCGGTTGAAAATATGGAGACGCGAGGGTTTTAGCAACTCAATTACTTAATGGGATCCAGTTGCGAGTCGGAGATTCTTTGGCGCATCTGATTAGATCCCAGTCTAGCCGAATCGAGCAAGAATATCCTCAATGATGGACTTACACTTTCACTCCGTCGCAAGGTTATCCAACTTTATTTACGCAATTCTATACTTAGCAGCGGCTAGTTAGAGATCCTTTCGGATGGCGTTCTGGCCTGGAGATGAACAGCCTCTGTCATCATCAAGTACTCAAGCGCTTATTGTGAATAAATGGCACATTCCGAGGTGAAGCAGACATACATTTGGGATATTTATAAGACTGGACAGATCAACACTGGCTCAATGAGTCTAAGATCTCTGCCTGGTGTTTGCTTAACGGACATCGAATCACGCCATGCTGCAGCATTTGTTGCCGTATGAAATTCTGAGCCGACTCTTTGGCCGGAATCCCTCCGAGTCTTGGCTCGGGATAGCCTTCCTAATTCTCTGAATTGACGTGATCCTTGGCCACTCGGTGATGATGGAATCTGCACCGAAAATCACGGAAGGGGCCAAATGTCTTTTCTGGCCACTCTCCAGTGCTCGTATCTTCTGCGTATTAGGAAAGAGACGCGATCTGTTGAATCCTGACTTCAACGGAGCCATAGGGACGCCCGGTCTAGCCCAAAGCCATGTGTAATAGAGTTTGCCGAACTCCGAGGGTCTTTGCTAATCCCCGAATTGCCACGAGGGGAAGGCGAGAAAGTCACCAATAATGAGAATGCCCTTGGTGGGTAATCTGGGTGCAAGTTCCCACTTGGCGTCGTTGTCAGCCCTAACCGCCCGCCGACTCTTTGGCACGTGCCACACGGTCGCTTTCTCTTTATCAACCCAACCCACAGTCAATGCCATGCTTTTTCCAAGCTTCAAAAGGCATATAGCCAACTGTGCCATGTGGGCCTTGTAGACATAACTAAGGGGACTTAAGAGCACTTCAGCGTGATAGATCACTGTTTCGGGTGCCAGTGGTAAACGATAGTGCAAGTTACCCTTATATATGTTTCGGATACCACCCTCTTCCCCAGATATACGTATAGTCACCAAAGGACAAAATAAAACCTTGTGCCGAGTATTAGTATTGATTTCATTCTCAAATCCGAACAGTACATCTGGGCCATAGTTTATCTTTCCGTCGGACAGATAGAAAAGAAACATCGGAGGTCGTTGTTGCAAAGGGAGTAGTATCGCAATGTCGCGGCAGCTATATACACAACGCAATCAGCATTCTGTCTGCAAGAAATGATAACGTATATAGGAGGTAGGGAGACTGTATTCCTCAGACGATGGTCACACCCAGTGCAGTTGCCGTGTAGGACAACTATTCAACGTCAGACAGAGGATCCCAGTACCCTGAACCAGTGAAACGTTACCGAGTGTAACCCACCACACTCTAGCATGTACTACACGAATGATCCTGTTTGATGTGGGTTTCCTCAGTGAGTGTCACGGAAAAGCGCAAGACTGACGTCAAGGTTAAGTTGTTGCACAAGAGATCTGCCGAATTTCAACGTAGAGAATAGCGTGTGGGTATATTGATTAAGTTCTTGGATAGTAAACACTGCTCGGCGCGGGAGTCATCCCACGCCATAGTTACATTGAAGAAGAGAAGACAAAGGAAATTGATATATGCAGGGAGCTGAGCCTTCGCTGGAGAATTGTAAAACAGGAGCCATTAGGAAGCAAAGTGAGGAGCGTTGAGGAAGAGACCCATGAGAACTCCACCCAGAGTGCCAGCAATAGGAATAGTCATAACCCATCCAATCATGAGCAGGAGAACTCGTTGCCAGTTCACGGCTCTCCAGGTACCGTTGCAGAGACCCACACCCACGGTAGCACCCGTGATACACATGGAGGTCGACACCGGGAGGGAGTACTGCGAGAAGATGAGGACGGTCAATGCGGCACCCATCTCCATGGAGCAACCACGACTTGGCGAATGGTAGGTGATCTTATTACCCATAACTGTGCAGAAATAGTAATTAGCTAAATAAACTCAACATGTGATCGGACCGACATCGCTTACCCTTCATGATGTTGTAGCCATAGGTGATGAGACCAGCAGAGATAGTGAGCGCAAGAACAGCGAGCTGCCACACTGGAACAGGAGCCTTGGATTGCTGAGCATCACCAGTCCTCCAGGCGGAGTACATCACCGCCCATGGACCCACAGAGTTTCCAATATCGTTAGCGCCGTGAGCGAAGGAGGCCGTGCACGCGGTCAGAACCTGAACGAACGAGTAGGTGTGCTCCACTTCATTGGGATACTTCGGGGCGTGTGCGTATACCCGGGCCATACGCTCACCCTCCGGGGTGCCATGAATACCAGATTGAGCGGCGTGGATATCGTAATTCATACCGTAGAGAAGACCCACTGTGATCATAGCGGGGATACGCTTGGCCAGTCGTACCATGTTTCGCCATTCGTAGATCTCACCGGCGCCCATGGGGTTGTCCCGCAAGGTGCGCATCGCCCATCCGAGAGGGCCACGCTTCTTCATGAGTCTGGCATGGAACCGTGCCTCGCCCTGAGCGACGAGCTCTTGGTATGTAGCCTGGGTTTCGGCCATGACGAGCGCCTTTTCCTTGGTATGGGTTTGGTCCTTGGCGGTCTCATCCGTCGTGGAGCCAGCAGTTGAGGGAACGGATGCCATATCATCGTGCTCATCCTGGACGACGGCATAGTCGGGAACCTTGGCTTGTTCTCCCACGTTCGGGGACTGGCGCGTGAGGAGGAGGGGGCCCAGGATGAACATCCACCACTTCACATCCTGGTCTTTCTTGATCACCCGCGCGTGCACAAAGGGAACGAAGAAGATGGCCGATAGCACAGCAACGCCACCACCACAGCCCATGGTCACGGCGGCAATATACCAGCCCGGCTTCTTGCTCAGACCCAAGCTGGGAGAACCCTTGTACACAATGGACAGGGTACAAATGGTGGCAGCCACGAGGAACCAGAATGGAGACGAATAAACCGCCCAGGGGACAGGGTTCTTACGCATGTGGACGATGACCTTGATCAACATGAAGATGATGGCACCGAACGCAGCGGAGATGGCGGGGGCCATTCCAAGACCGGCAAAGATGGCACCAAGACCCTTTCCATTATTCCAGCCCCATTGTACCTTGGATGCCCCAGCAGTGGCAACACCCACACCGGCGACGGCAGAGACGAGAGAGTAGGTGGAGGACACGTGAGTGGAGTGTCGGGTACACCACATAACCCAGGAGGACGCGGCCGCGAGGGCACACGCGAATGCCAGTAGTTGGACCCCAGCGTCCCCCTTGAAGGCGGACACGGGGATGATTCCGTTCTTGATGGTATCGGCGGTACGGGCACCTACACAAATGGCTCCGAGGAGCTCGAAGATAGTACCCAGGATCATGGCCTGTCGGTAGGAAATGGAACGCGACGACACACTAGTCGCCCAGGAGTTTGCGACATCGTCTGATTTGAAGGGTTAGTGATTTTTGTGCCACCACGAGTCGGTCAACGAGGTGACGACTCACTTGCGCCGTTGTTGTACGCGTCCAACATGGCAAAGATTGTGCCGATGGCAAACACATAAGTATACTGGTCGAGCACCGCCATCTTGACAGAGAAAGTTAACTCGGTTAACTGATGCTCGTCAAATGGAAGGAGGATGAGATGTGCGTAGAGAAGGAAAAGAGAAAGAAGAAGGACCAAGACGACAGGAGACAAGGTTTTATGTAGGTGGCCATCCGTCTAGTGTTGTATATGAAAAGTGGGACGGCGTCCAACGCAGGCGTTCACTACCCAGTGGCAACCCCAAGACGCTAGTCCACTTAGCTGTACGGTCAAGCCCCGACGGTGGAAAGTTTCAGATACGATGGGGGTTTCTTGTCAGCATTCAAGACTTCTAGGCAGTGGAAAGCGTGGTCGGCACCCACGTGGCCCCTGATTTCGACATGCAACCCGGGACGAGGGTAAAAGTAATTGAATTTAATCAATTCAGCGGATCAGGGAAATAAAACGAACGAAACAGAATTGGATGTCTACACGGAAGTTAACCATGCGAGGAACAGATGCGAGAAATTCTCCGACTCGGGCCCTACCAGCGCTGGTGCTCAATCACTTCCTCCCTCCTCCACTAGTCCCGTTGCTACGAATAATCCCCTCGTACAGTTCTCGTCTGTGACCGAAATCGTGTCTCACCTTGTCGCCCATAAGGCAATACGAGGGAGCCTTTTCCCACCGCATGACGGTGGCATTGCATCTAGACGGTGGTCTCCAGCCCGGACACGTTCCTCGCTCGCGGAGTCTGATTCGCAGCTGGAGTCTCACAGTGCAGTTGTGCCCGTGGCTTGGAATTGACCAGAGCTTCATCCATGACCGGCGTCCTTGGCACCCTTGGCAGAGGTCAATGGCTATCTTTATACGACGGCGCGCTACGATACAACCTGAATATCTAATATCTTCCCTCCGGGACAGGGCTTGGCATGGGAGCTGGCCTGGCCCAATCAGCGGGCCCACCGCTCCCACGAGCTCCGTCTCGACTCCCCGCTTGGTCCATGCGCGGCCGTGGCCAAGACTCCCTCCCATGCGTGATTTAATTAAGCCTTCTTTTACCATTGGCTGCAGGCTCGGCAGTCCCTAAGGAACCGTTCCATTCATCTTCTTCCACTTGATCTCATCCCGGTTCTGGAAACTGTCACAAGTAGTTCTTTTTGGTACTAGTAATTACTAGGAACCTTCCATGACTGCATCCGGATGTCAACCTCTGCGGTCCCTGGTTCCATCTTGAGAAGACACGTGCCTCGACCGTGCTATCAGTATGGGCCTACAGAGAATAGTATCCTACGAGGTAT